TCTCTCTCTCTCTCTCTCTCTCTCTCTCTCTCTCTCTCTCTCTCTCTCTCTCTCTCTCTCTCTCTCTCTCTCTCTCTCTCTCTCTCTCTCTCTCTCTCTCTCTCTGCTCCTATGTGCTTTCCATCAGATGTCCTATCAAGACGAAGACTGGCTCACTTCTTGTATGTAGAATATAGATATATATACACGATTGGTCGGGGGGTAGGGGGCTATTACATATCCGTCTAACCAACGAGACCAAAACAAAAGTCCTACTATACATACTATACATACCTACCTACTATAGCGTGTATATATATATATAAATATACCTTAAGGTATCGATATACATTTCCTTTAGTTAGGTATTATCTAATCCAAGTCCAAGTCTAAGTCCAAATCGAAATCGAAATCGAAACTAACTAAAATATAATAATAGATAGTTAGAACGAAATGTAGGGCCAATTTTCACTTATATATACATATATACATATATACTTTATATATACGCATGCGGTGCGTATATATAGAGGGTATGTGCGTATATTCTATATCTCTATCTCTGTCTCTATCTTTTTAGGCTTCTTCTTCTTCTTCTTCTTCTTCTTCTTCTTCTTCTTCTTCTTCTTCTTCTTCTTCTTCTTCTTCTTCTTCCCCCTATTCCTTCTTACTAATACAGACCTTGGGCGAGTCGGACGGAAGATCATAGGGCATAGATCTGGTAGAGTAGATACTAGGTAGTCTATAGATACCATCTTTGTTTCTTGAAAAGTACCTACCTGACCCCCGACCTGAACCGACCTGAGCTTTTGAAATCAAAGTCGGCGGCGCGTGCTGGTAAGGAGGAAGTAGGTAGATAGGATACGACTTCCATCGAGAATTAAAAACAGTACTACTAGCATACCAAACAGAGACACCCAACCACGAGGAAACTTTGGGTTGATAGATGGAAGCTACTTCTCACTCGTCACCACCCGCATTGAATACATAAAAAGGAAGAAAAACACGCTCAGGGGGTCTAATCTCGAACACACGCTGATCGGCCACACGAAGCAATACATGGCGCTCCCTTTCCCGTCACAGTGTCCTCTCAATCAGATCAGCGGACCTGACGGGCACTTCCAGAATCTCCTTCGGGTCGCAGTTAGATATGTCAATGAGAAAACTACTATGACTGACATTGACAGTCGTATTTAGTGGTGGTGGTGATGATAATTATATTGTTGTTGTTGGTGGTGGGGTGGTGGTGGTGGCGGTGGTGGTATGCAGGATACGGTCCAGCCAGGTTGTGGTGTGGGTGTGTGTTATCGTGTCATACCGCGTGATCCACGGCCATCCCATTGGTAATCTCAAAAATGCCTCCCGGTCCAGCGGTAACCATGGGAAGTTGCGCTTTTGCCATGTCCGTAGTAAGGCATTGATACAAACAAAGCGCCACCTCGAAGCGTGGGATGCGTATACTGTTGCAGATCACGCATTCCGTATCGCTGCAATAACGCCAATGACGACGACTCCAGGCTACGAATGTACACATTGGAACGGCTGTCTATATCAGTCCGCACATGCGCAAGTTCTCCTGAATGATGATGTCGTTCACTGCGGCCATGACAAATTTTATCTGCATGGTGTCTGTCGCGCAGGTGAAATGGGTGTAGATTTGCTTGGTGGGATGTTGATTGAGCCTAGAAGATGTTAGCATTGGCCATAGACGACCTGGTGAGTTCTAGCGCGCGCAACTCACGAGACGAATCTGTTGAGAATGTAATCACATGCTGCTCCGTAGTCTTGCCCGCCCTCGTAGTCGGGAAAGTAGTTCTTCATGGGTGACACGGGTAGCTTCTCCTTGAAACGATCAATCTTGTTCAGGAACAGGATGATACTGGTTTTCGTGAACCACCTGCTGTTGCAGATAGAGTCGAAGAGCGTCAGCGCTTCCTGCATGCGGTTCACGGTCTCGTCCTCGAACAAGAGCTGATCGTATTCTGATATTGCCACCAAGAAGAGAATCGTCGTCACGTTCTCGAAGCAATGTATCCACTTCTTTCGCTCCGATCTCTGCCCTCCGACATCGAACATGCGATATGTCAGGTCGCCGATGATGAAGGTCGTTTCCGTAATACCCGTCGTCTTGACACGCGAGCGCAACACGTCCTGATCTGAGGGAATGTATGTCGGAGAAGCAATCGTGTCGATGGAGTCGAAATAGTACTTTGCAGAGTCATTCAGCTGGTACTCTCGACTCCGCTGAAAGGCCGCTTGTACACCCGCATCAGCCCATAGAGTCTTGATGGCATGGCCGACTTCCGGAGGAAGCACATCACCTTCGATTTGCGCGGGTTGCATGAAGATGGTCTGTACATGATATTCGGCTCGTTGATCGTCCAGCGGTAGCTCCAAGCTTTCCATGGCTTCCAGTATCACACGCATGCTTTGCACCGTGTTGGAGAAGATGATCTCCCGGAAGCTTTCTCGTTCATCTCTTGAGTAGCCGCCCTCGTGTATGAGCTTCATCTGCTTGAGGATGGTCGATTTCCCTGATTCACCAGCACCGAGAAGCAGCATCTTGATCTCGTTCCGTAGGTTCATCTTGTCCCGCTTCAGCTGGTTCTCGATTTCCTCATTTCGTTGCTTGCCCTCCTTGAACTCTGAGCTCTGTCCGCAACCCATCCTGGCGGTGGAGTGCGCAACACCGTTGCGCTATGATGTATACGGATTCGGCGGTGTGGCGCGAGTGGTAGCCGTCCGGAGAGGCGAGAGCGCAGACAGTGTGCAGAGATGTGTCTCGGAGCAGTGCGCCTGAAGATGGTATGTTAGTCAGGTGAGGTTGCTCGGTATGCCCACGGACGCGTGGTATGGTGGTAGCACGAAGACGTTGTTTGCCGTCGCAATGTGACAGCCGTGGACTGCTGTTTTCTCCCGGCTCGTGCTCGTTGTTGCGATGTCGGGCGGGACAGAAGCAAGAGCAGCGTGCGTGGTATGGAGATAGAGGAGCCGACGTTCATGCGATAGGCGCTGTGCAATACTCGGCGTCGAGGAGTGCAGCAATCTCATCGTCGAGGGCAGCGAAGATATGGACACTCACCTTTACGGGGACCTGCAGGCGCAGTAGTGTGCGAGCTTCCCAGCAGGTAGCGTTGACAATGGCAGTGAATGGCGGCGCGCAATGGGGCGGTTCGCTGTCCGCTTCTTTTACGGAGACAGCGTAGCCGGGTCGGAAGTGGTCGCAGGTCGATCGGAAGGAGGTGCAGCGACCGGCTGGGAGCGAGTGCAGCAGCGGCGTCGTGGTGGCACGTTTGTGCTCAGGCCGCGCGGAGGGCGGTGGTGCTGGCGACGGCGGCGAAGGGGGTGGTGGTGGTGGTGGTGGATGGTGATGGTGGAGGATGGTGCAGCTGTGCCGCGTGCGTTCTGGCTGGCAGACAGCGTACAGGAGAAGCGCGCACAGGTGAAGTCGCTTTTGGTAGAGGATTGCCCGTCGAGCTGCAGGTAATTTGATTTGTACTAGCCGACGATGAAATGACTTTCGCGATGCAGGGAGCACGATCAACAGCCTTCCGGCTACGCTGTCTAGTTCTATCCCAGTCCGACAGGGCCAATCAGCACGAGTGCAGCCGTATTAGACTGCCGACGGGAAGAGGTGCAGGCCGGCGGATTGAATAGAGCGAGCGGGTGGCGATGGAGGATTGAGGATTGCGGGAGCTGCCTGTGAATCTGCACGCGCTGCGCTTCACACAACCCACGACCACGACGAGAAGAGGCGGCGGAGAGGAGGATATGTAGTAGAGCAGAGGAGAGCCAGAGGGGCGGAGGCGGAGGCGGAGAGGGAGGAGGAGGAGGATGTCGACGACGACGACGACGACGATGAAAAGCAGAGACGCAGCAGCAACAGCAGCAGCAGCAGCAGCAAGTGCTTCTCACCAGTAATGGGGAGTCAATGGGTGGATGGTCAATATTGGGTGGTGGGTGGTGGGTGGTGGTGCGCCTGCAACAATGGCCGCACAGACGAGCAGCACAGCACATCGAGACATGACCGTCGCCAATGCGGTAAGAACTACTTGCCCTCGCCTACGCTGTGCGACAGGCACGAGTCCTACCTCCTCCTCCTCCTCCCCCCCTACATATCTGTACACTGCCTCCCGATTCCGAAGCACGCTCTTGGCTTCTATATCGTCGGCGTTGTCGACTCTGCCAGACTACCTACATTACCTACTACCTACTACCCACTTCCTACTCTGTGTGCCAGCATCCGGCCTGTCTGTCGAGTCGAATTCCCCGGCGGCGGCACGGGGTGACAGAGTTACAGACATTACAGTTATACAGTACCGTATGCATCCCAAGTCTCACCTGCACGACACCGCGCCGTGGACGTGGATCGTGGCGGGCTGCATTTTCCGCTCCACAACTTGTTCTCACATAGAATGCACAATATACACGTACGTCCCTATTTCGAGGTAGGAGGTAACGTATCCATACCTACAGGTACCTCCTAGTTCCATACTGGAAATAAATATGCTGTCTGTCCAGTTTCCTCCTCCTCCTCCTCCTCCTCCATCCTCCGCAAGCGGCTCGTTGCATCCGCGATACGAGATGCCCGCTGCCGCTGCCGCACCACCAGACAGGAAACGTCCCAGTCGCTCCCTTCCAGATCTGATGATTCTGCTGCACGCTTGTGAAAGGAGGAGACACAACCCACACACCCGCGCGGCCTGGTTCAAGACCAGCATTGTACGACCTCCAGGGGCTTGCCGACGTCTTACAAAAGCGGACCATTCTTTCGTAATCGTCACATTCTCCGCCTACACCGACTGGGCCGGATGATTGGAGAGGCAAAGTCGCCGTCAATCACTTTGGAGCGATAGACGCTGCATTTGTTGTTGCGCAGTCCTTGTATGTCTTCGGTGTATCCATCAGAGTAAGTGAATTTCTTTTTCTTCACATGATCTCCATCCGGTCCATTCACAGCACCAGAAAAAGTGTCCCGAGACATTGAAACTGCTGATCTTGCTGTAGCGCCGTGGCTAAGTGCTTCCATACCTTCTTCGAGAAATTGCCAAAATGGTGTCAGTGAACCCGGCGATTGGGTCTGGAACAGACTAAGTAGTAAGCTTGATGGATATACTGCAGCCACAACACCATTCGACATTAGAGCTATACCAGGTACTAATAATAATACGACTACCGATTTTTTCTTCTTTACGTGAATCCATCACCCTTCATTCAGGTACCTCCTTGCCTGCAGTAGTAAGTACCTTGGGAGTAGCTCTCACACATAGTTGTAGTATGCAGACGCGCGTGATCCCAATTCCCAAGACAATCTGATTGAATAAAATTACTTTTCTCACGAGAACATACATACCTGTACAGCTACCTACCTGTACCTAGGAGTAGGTAGGGAGGAGAGAAGGAGGAGAGAAAGGCTCCTCCTTCCCCCCAGGGATGCGGGAAATGGGATGAGGAGTTCAAAGTTTTCCTAAAGGGTAAGGATACCCTTATATATACTTTTTCATACAATGAGATTGAATGAAAAAAAAGCGGCTTTTTCCTGCATTATCATTTCTAGAAAGTTTAAATCATGGGAGAAAGTACAAAAGAAGAAAAAAAAAAAGAATTGGTACCAAGGTAAGAAGGAGAGAGAGAGAGAGAGAGAGAGAGAGAGAGAGAGAGAAGAAAAGAAGAAACTGATCGACTCTCGTGTAACAGACAAACAGACAGATCGAGACAAGAGATAGGGACAGATACTACGGTACCCAACCTGACCTACCTTCTACCTAGTAAGAAAGGGAAGGATAAGGACTTGAGAGAGAAGTCAGAAGGTTCCAGGTTGTAGAAGATCTCATGAGGTAATAATCTCATCTTGAGAAGACACAAGTACACGGCATACATGTACCAAAAATGCTTGAGAAAAAAGAAAGCATTCGACGAGAGGGATGGTAAAGGTCAGGTAGGTCAGGTACATGTAAGTTAGTAATAAGTCACTTACTGGACAACGGGTCACTTATTTACTACCTTAGACAACTAGGTGGTCACTACAGCTGTACACCGGTCCAGTCCAGTAGTAGGTAGTAAGTAGTACAGTACCTAACCCTACATACCAAAATACCTACCTTCCCTACTTGAAGCTGTTTGCATGTCTTCCCGTCCCACTGCGAGATGTATGTAGGTGATTCATACAGGTAGGTAGTGGCCCGATTCAATTCAAATTTCGATTTGATTCCACACCCGTGGATGGTCAGCGGAGTACATACACATACACTACTACCTCCTAGGTAACTGTTCTAACTTCTAAAAAAGGTACTCCCAGTCACACAAGAAACAAGAAACACGTATCGAAGAAAAAGGCTCTGGGAGTCTGCCCGGGGTGGGGCTGTGTCGTCTTTTGTTTTGTTTTGTTTTGGGGGATTGTTGTGGGGAATTGGCCTGGTTGTCATCATTATCATCATCATCATCATCATCATGTAGGGTAAAAAGGAGAGGGTGAGCCGAGACTTGGGTCTGGTTGTTTGTTTTGTTTTGTTTTGTTTGTTTCATTCGTTCAAAAGGTTTTCCCTTTTGGAAATTATTTACATCACCACCGTATCGGCTTCGCCTCGCCTCGCCATTTTTTTTCTTCTTCTTCTCCTTCTTCTTTCCTCTGCTACATCTCTCTAGCTTACAGCGTGCGTAGGTACAACTACAGTAGCATACAGCGTACAATGGTCTTTCAAGCGTACTTAAATGGGGGGTATCATGAACAACAAAACAAGTGAAGGAGGACTTCCAAAATAGTCACCCATCATTTTTTCGCCAGTCCAAAAAAACAGAGAAAAAAAGTCTTCAGTAGACTTGTTGCCAACCAGCGCTCATTGGTCTTTGTAGTGTCTCAATTGGAGAGGGAAAAAAAAAAATCACAGAGTGTGGTTTTTCCCAAGCACGTCCCGATATACAAGACTTTGTCGTGCTAAATTATGTGGAGTTGGATGGGCCGTAGAGGTCGTGAGAAGAAAGAAATGTCGCCTCTCCCGGCGGTGACGGGACGTGAGCCTCATCACCTGTCGGAAAAAGAGACTCATGCCATGATCGGGTTGATCAGCCTCGTGGTTCTTCGTTCCGCCATGATGCTTCTCTGGTCCGTCGGATATATCCCTTGGATACCTGCCGCATGCGCTTGCACTCTCATGGCAGCCAATGCGTGACGCTCGCAATAGATCCGGTTGCTGATTTCAAAGTAGTCGTCGGTCAACGTCATGCGACACTGGGAGCACGTGAAGCATCGCGGGTGGTATTTCTTCTCGATAATGCCTTGCGTGGTGGAGCTCGTCGTTTCCAAGTACTGGCCTTCGATGCCGCGGTGGCACCCATGGCACAGGGAACCATTCTGTTCGTGATAGTGGTGCTCACAGTATGGCTGATTGTTGATGACATAGAAATCAGCGGTCAAGAATGGCGCCTGGCACGAGCGGCAGACAAAGCATGCTTTATGCCATCGGCCTGTGAGACGTCCATCTGCCGCCTTGACCGATTTACCCTCAATCATCAAGCCGCAACCTCGACATGTGGCTTTGTTTCCGTTTGTCGGCCGCCGCATATGATGTCTTTTAGGCTGAGGCTGCGCGGGCACAGGCGGCGCGGGCAGTGCGCTGGGCGACGGCGCACGTGCACTGCTCAGCGTAGGTGAACTGACGCTGGTCGATGAATGATATGCACTGTCTTTACCCGGTGAGTCATGCTGGTCAACCTTTGGCGGCTCTTTTGATAACGACAGGGCTGGTGGGTTCAGCGTCCTGTCCAGCCTCGAGCCATCCACAGGGGTCTTCTTCCTTTCCGGACTGGTATTTAGTGGCAACACCTCTGGTAGCGCTATCCAAGGCTCATTGGCGGCAATCGCTAGTCGCGGCAGCAGGGCAGGATCCATTGGCGATTCAAGCGCGAAGAGGTCCTCCCGGTCCTTCGCTGAGGTCATCGCACGAGCAGCCGCCGGGCGAGTGTTATATCGAGGTGGTGAGGCTTCTCTGGGAAGCTCTGCCCGCTCGCCTGGTTTCTGCTGATTCCGCACATTCAGTCCTGCTGGACGCAGTTTTTCTTCTTCCTCCAACCCATTCAGCAGGACAGACAACGCTTCCACGCTGCCCACGGGACTGGGTCGCGTGCTATATGTGGTGTCGCTGTAATTTGAAGATTGAGCAGTGGAGACGGTAGACCCCGACTCTGATGGTGTGTGCAGGCTTGATTGCTGCTGCCTGTGTTGCAATACTGGCTTCGGGACTGGTGGTGCATCCTGCATCCGATGGTCCACGCGCGCTCCATTGCGGCTCTGACTTCGCGGCGGAAGGGGCAATGCTGCGGAGGGGACGTTTGCCAATGAAGGTCTGCGTAGCAAACTGCGCAACCCTGGCTCACTTCGCTGCCTCGCCATCATGTGTGATTCCGACGTTGCCTGCGCACCGACTTCCGATGTGGTGCAAGTGCTGCCGTGAACAGCCGATCCCGACGCCGGAGCTTGTTCCAGTTCGGCGGGCTCGGCACTGAATTGTTCGAGGAATGCTGGTGAAAACAGATCCTCACTTGCGTTTCTAGTGGGTCGAGGGGGCGCGACTTTCTTCGGTATCCGGCTCACATCAGCTTGGCTTTTACCTGCTCCAGGGGTGGTAGGCCGATGGAGAGGTGAGTTCCGCGAAGCAGGTGAAGACTGCTTTCCTAGGAGTTCGGGGGCGCTCGGTCGTCTGCCAGTCGAGTATGCGGCCCCGTCTTTGGACTCTGCACTGTCTTGCCGTCTTGCTGTGAATGGGCCACTCTTTAATGTATTGAGCTTCTGTAGCACGCTCTCTCCTCCATTCTTCCTCGGACTTTTGGGTCCATAGATAAATGAATCATCAACTGTGAGTTTGGAATGGTCGCTGCGGCTTGCCGAACTGGTCTCTGCCCGAGACTGATCACGATCGCTCCCGGGCGTCCTCCTGCCCTGACTCGATGGCGGTCTCAAGGGTGTGCTGCTGCCCGACGCGGGGAACGGAGGAAACGCGCAGTCAAGATTTGCAGATAGCTCTGGACTGGGTGGTCTTCGATCGAATAGTCGCGGCATGGGGCTCGTCTGGCTGCGTTGGAAGCTTGGTCGTTCGCCGCTCGTTTCTGGAGTCAAGGGTGCGTCCAGCCTTCGTTGCTGTGGGCTCAGATATGACTGATTCGCAGCACTCGCGTTGATCTTTGGTAGTGCTATCCGAGAGGGCTTCTTGTTGAGCACCGGATCCCTCCTTTGTGTCTGAGCCTGCTCTTCATTTCGTTGCGGTAGAGCAGGAAGCGGCTGTTCACTCGCAGAATATTGCCGCGATGCGACTGCACTGGACAAGTTCGGTATTCGACTCTTGGGAGGAGGAGGAGGAGGCGCTTCGGCACTCTTTCCAGCGCAGACGTGGCCGCCCATGGCCGCTATTTCGATTTCGTCGTGACATGTCGAGCATTTGATAGTGGGCAGAAATGACACTGGTCGCACGCCCTCTCGTGCACTCGGGGTAGCCAGTGACATAACAGCAGGATTCCGACGTGATCGCGGTCGTTGGTGGGTAGGTAATGTAGGTATGCTGTTGTACGTTTGTGACTCGTGAGGTCCTATTGCGGCATTGCTCGATCGTTCGTACCGGCCACGTCGACGTCGCTGCTTGTGCTTGATGTATGCTCCTCGCACTGTGGTGTCCCGGACCCTGATGAGTTGTCCTGGTCGTAATGGCAGGCAATGTTTAAAATTACCTCACCATCGAGCTCTATCGTAGTCCTCCAGCAACAATCTCCTCGCTCTTCACTACGGACGTTGGACCCGTGTACAGGGAAGATGCAAAGTCAACAGCTCCAGTCGTAGTATAACAGTGATGCGATTGAGCTGTAGAGGGTCTGAAACATGTATGACAGTTGCCCGATCGTGGATGGGAAGCGAAAGCATCAGCCCAACTAGGTAGTAGGTAGTGTGGTGTATGTAGATGATGAACAACAGCACACATGAAGGCCGCTGTCAACGAGGTACTACGCCCGGACGCCGCAACCGAAGGAGCCGCGATAACGTTACCTCCTAGTCGCCAATGGAGCGAACTTCACTAGTACAGTAGGAGGTAGTAGTGCACTAGAGGTACGGGAGGAGTGCCTTGGTCGGCCTGTGGTCCCGAGCCATTGCGCTTAAAGAAATGAAGTTGATCCAAGCTTCAGCAAGGGGCGCACGTGAATGTGCATTCGAGGATTGTGCTGGTTCAACCCAAGACCGCAGGAGAATCCCTTTTTGACCTATGCGATCCGCCATAGAAGGTAGTGCGGGCGTAGGAGGTATATCTGATTGAACGAGAAGTTTTCTCGCGAGTGGAAGCAATTATCGCATGATGTGATATGGATGCGAAGGCGAGACTCCCATGTGTGTCAGCTTAGGTACTGTACCTGTAGTTCTCCCGCCCGTATAGAGAGTACCTGTGTGTGCCATGTGTGATGACTAGGAGGTATTGAGTATTGACATGATGATCTCCCTCTGTTCATCAACCAGGCGACCCTGTCCATGGCCCACAACGCCAGACGCGGTTGAACGACGGCGAGGACCGTCTCTTGTGCCCGCGCGACGCTCGTGCCAGAAGCGGACAGTGCTGATTGCTGATGAACTGCTGGATGAGTGTGCTCGCCCAGGGAAGCTAGTTCGAGCCAAGTCGCAATTGGATGCTACTGGTGGAGGGCCGAGTGAAGTAACTCAGTTTGGTGGTGTGGGAGATTTCGACATTCAGCCGTCGGTTCCATCGCGCCCACGCCAATAATTGCTTGCACCTTTGCCTGTACTCTGCAGTGCTCAGGGCCCAAAGCACTCCCGTGGCGCTTCCAGGGTGGCTCGGGGACCAATCATGGGCCTTGCGAGAACCCTTTTCTCTCTTCACGGACGAAATACGGACCAAGAGCACTCCAGGGAGTTCAGGCGAGACTGGCGAGTCGACGACCACACTCGGACACTGATACACTGTAATATAACAACACTTCGACCTGCTCACATCAGCTGGTCTTATCTCACTCATCAAGGCGGTGCCAGGATTGAAGTTCATAGCACTACGAGAAGGTCGAGACCTTATCTGGCTGCAACGGACGTCGTACTGTTTATAGAAAAGCAAGCCCTGGTGCTGTGTGACGAGTGACGAGACATCACACAAAGTCACAGCACCTAGGAGGGAGGAGGTCAGGTAGAAGGTACATACTGTACCTCCTAGTGTCAGCATACATGTGCCTCATCACTCGAGGAGTCGAGGACAATCGCAATATCCCCACAAAGGACCTCCTAGAGCCCTCAGCCTTGTAGCCGAGACCATGCTCACTCATCGATAGAACTGTTGTGGATGTGGCTGTCTGACCCGCGCTGAGGGGGCTGGCTGTTCTCTTCCCTTTCCACTTCCAGCAATGATCAGGTACCTCCTACATGTAACCTGCAGACCGTCTGAGAGGACACCGTTACCTTACACATCGGCTTTTTGCAAACGACGAAACGACGTGAGACGAACGACACATGCCGGTCTGGACATGAACAGGAGCACTCTTTTTTACTTTCTCCCAACAAATAAAACAGATGTCTCAAGTTTCAAGACGTGAAAGGGTACCATGTTCATGGGAGCGACCTCCATGTTGGTTGGAAACCCCTAGTTACAGATGGATGAAGTTACCAACAATGACAGCAACAACCACCACTACCTACCAGTCTACCTCCTACCACCACTCCCTCCACCACCCATCAAGTCAATCACCTTATACGGTCTATTAATATACAGCCTTGTTTCAAGACTCTCTTCAGTGTTCAAACCCTCGTGCATGAGTAAGTGACCATCCAATAATAATCCGAACGTTCCCGGCCTGTTGGAAACACAACAGTCGCAAAAAAGAAGGAAAAGTACCTCCCTACCTTACCGGTTCAAAACATCTCACTTGCAACGGCTGTTACCAGGCAAGCGGAACTGGGCTTCCCATCACAATGGTCCACCATGTCTTGGAGCTGGCCCAGCCCGGTACTACTACCAACTGGAAATTTCTCCTATACTGTGGGAAGGATGAAGAATGCAGGTCTCGCCACCTCCCCTTCTTTTCTTTTTGGTCTTCTCCCCCATCCTACGCTGCTGATCTTCTACACGCAAGCCAACGGTAGGTAGGTAATAACGTGTTTTTTTCCCTTTTAATTCCTTCTTGATGACGTGGCTTGAGACAATCTCCAGGTGGCTTTTCTTCTTCATCCAAATTTGCGTGTCGGCATGCAGACAAAAGTATTTGAATTATGCCCACAGTGCCGTTGCATTTCCTGTTTTTTTTAACTCTTCATCCCGAAATTGGTCGTGCGCTCCCTTTCAGGTATTCTTTCTCAGGTACACATACAAGGCGCGACGAGCTTCGCCGATTTCCACTTCCACTTCTAGGTACTTCCACTACTCCGTATACGTACCCTACCTTACCTTACCCTACATTACCTTACCCTACACTATTCCCCCTCTAGAGAGGTAGATACTATACAAGAAAGGAAGTCAGGTACCGTACGTCGCACAAATCAATATAGGCAAAGGCACATACCTACCTACCTAGGTACATACATGTACCTATTTGGGCTACAAAGAATGCTTAAGGTACCTAGGTACAGGTACCTCTATACCTACCTTACCTACCTACCTGTACCTTAGGTACCTTACCTACCACAAGTCAATAACCATGATACATGTACGAAGGAGGTGGACAGTAGCTCACGCAATATGCACCACCACCACCACCACCACCACCATTTTCAAATAGAAAGTGCGTGGGAGGAAACTATTGAAACTCTCCTCATCATCATTATAGCAGGTAATTAATAGTCTCGCGATTGAGCATCTTGCATATACACACATAAGGTAGACAGCCACACTCAAATTCTCCAAATGCAGTAGGTCGGTAGGAAGGTACCTACTATTGGCAGTAGTTAGGTAGGCACTATTGGAGCAGCAGCAGCAGAATTCGATGAGGTGGGCATGGAGGTATCTATCATTATCAAGGTCGTTAAGAGGCGAACGCTCAAACAAACCCCGCAAAATGAAAAAATGAAAAAGAAAAGATATATCCGATCAAGTCCGTTGCCATTCTCTTCGTTACTTCTTTGGAGTGAGCGAGTCATCATCGCCTTTGCGAGTTGAGAACCCGAGCAAGACCTCGCAATGCATCCATCTGATCCACAGCTTTGCTACCCTTTGCACGCTGCTTTTCCCGTTCTTCCAGAGCAGTCGCAGCTTCTGCTAGAGACTTTTCTGCTACGCGATCTGCTGTCTCCTTCGTCGTGCTGAGAGCGTGAACCCCATGCGCAAATTGATCAATTGCAAACTCCAGATCGTCAGATATCGTTCGTAGCCGGTCGTGTATGGTCGTTGGCGTGGTGACAGTGTCTTCCGGAACCGAGCTCAACTGTTCGAAGATCGTGCGTTGAGGAGTATCTAGGACTTCGGGATGAATGGGAGATACGTTGCCCGGTCCGGCAGTTTGCTGTTGATCCTGATCGGGCCCCAGAGCCACAGATGCTGCCGATTGTGTAAGTGCATCCCACTCCGCTTTTTCTGCTTTTAATCTAGACAGTCCTGTCAGCTTCTCCAAGGCCTACACGTCGAGTGACTCAGTGTCACATACCGTTCAAGCTCCCGTTCAAGTTCGTCTGCTTTTGCAGCATTGGCGATATTTCTGGGGTTGGCTTTCTTTCGTAGGGGAATTTGAGGTGGCACCGATTCGTCTCTCGAGAACCAATCGCTGAGTGTGCCATTGGTCAGAAGACTTTGCGAAAGTTCTTCTTGTATAACATGTGCTATACAGAGGTTAGTACGGCAATGCTTACTGTCCCTCGCATATACGCACCTGCTTGCTGCGCCTGGAATTCCAGCATTGCGGCCGGCGTGCTCTGAGTCGGGGGGTGCGGTTTTGCTGGTAGAAGCCTCGTTCCACACCATCCAAGCAGAGCTCGCATTCGGCGCGGCTCTGTAATGTCCGCAGAAATATGCTTGTAGAACTCCGTGGCAGGGACTTCGGCATGTGGGAGAGCTGTAACAGCAAGCTTCTTGTCAGCAAGAGTTTCCTGGGCTGTTGGATTTGCGGCAGCACTGGGTACAGTGTGGTCGTCCGAAGGACTATATGGCAAGCTGCTATTGCCAGACCAGGAGTCGTTGTCGAGACTGTACTGCTCTATTGCGGAGACCGACACCTCTGCACATGAAGGCATCAGGTGAGGCAACACAAACCACAGTCGAAGAAAATGGGAGAGACTTACCATGCCCTCTGCCCTCATCTATCACGCTGCTCGCACGTTTCCCTCGCATGCCAGTGCTACTGCGTCTGTTCCCTTCAGCGCTCGTCTTACGCATCTCTTTATTCCGCCGTTGAATGGGGGTATCGGCGAAGGGCAATGCAATCTGCATCACCTGCGTCTCACGTCGACCCTCATCTCCTTGAGATCGCTTCTTCGTAACTGAAATGGGCCGCCCTCGTCCAGGACTCGGCGACCTCTCTCCATTCTCGTGAGACTGCGCGTGGGCTGATTTGTGTGGTGTAGGCTGACTTGCAACAGCCTCTGCCGGCCTCTCATCTGAGATACGCTTACTGCGACGTGTGGGCTTCTCGATAACCTCGCGTTCTGGTGTCGTTGGCAGTCTTCTGCGAGTTTTCTTCTGTACAGTCTTCAACAATGGCGCCTCGGCTACAGGCTCTGGCCGTGCTTCTGCTTCTTTTTCGGGCTCTACGGCAGGTGCGCTTTCTGGCGCCGGTGCGTCCTCTAGATTGCTATGCAGCACAGCATCTCTGGTGGCCTTCTTCCGTTTGCTGCCCTTTCGAGCGAATTGAAAATCGTCTGCCTGATCTGTATATTCTGCTCATTCAACGTCAGCCCTGCCTCACCATATGGACCCGCAGATTCTCCCTACCCTGCCGTTTCTTCTTGCCCGCGGCTCTCTTGGGCTCGCCATCCTGCTGCTTCGTGGTCACCGTCGTGGTAGAACCGCCCTGGACCTTTGCTTTCTTCGCTGGTGGCTCACTTTCGCCATTGCCTTCGCCCGACAGTCGCGCGCTGCGTCTCTTTCCCGTCGCGCCTCCGTTCATTCCAATGTTTTCTAGCGGAAATCGGTTCAGGACAATGGACATGTCTCGATCTCAAGTTTGTTTTCTCGTGAGCGCGTCAGTGAGGAAGTCGCGTATGCGCGTAGGCTTATCGTCGCAGATCGCGTCGCGTCGCATTTATTCGAAGAACTCTGTGCGAAAAAGGGCACCCGCCGGCGCGTCGAGAGTGTCGCGAATGGACGTAAGGATGTTGTCGCGATGGTGGTCGGTTCGTGCTGGGTGCGCACTTGCGAAGGTCGTGTTTACATTGAGTCTAGGATGTTGTTCTCGGCTTCAGTGCGGCTCAAGTGGCAGGCCAATCAAGATTGAGATCTAGTTCTACCACAGCAGCACAGCTCGAGCTCCGATTTCGTCAACAGAATTTAGAAAGACCACCATTACACGAACACTATTGCAGAATGGGTCCACAGATTCTCCAACACCCACTGGCGAGAGCTGATGGCTCAACCGTCTTCTCCGACGACCTCTACACCGTCATCGCGGGCGTCAATGGCCCTGTTGACGTGCAGCGCCGAGATGAATTGCCAGACCAAGCGGCCATCGAAGTCAATTTGCGCCCTACGTCTGGAGTCGGCGGACCACGAGAACGATGGCTCGAGACCGTGATACAGTCGGTTTTGAAAAGCATCGTCCTCGTGCACATGCATCCGCGCACTCTCATTCAGGTGACGCTACAAATCACGAAAGAGCCGGCCACGAAATTTCGCAAGACCACGACTGACATTTCGACCTTGCCTGCGTTGCTCAATGCTGCCTTTATTGCGCTTGTGGACGGGGGCCTCCCAATGGCCACGACCATGAGCGCCGTATTGGCTGTCGTGGCCACGAACGGTGAGACGATCCTGTCGCCGAATGCGAATGCAATCCAGAACAGCAGCAGTGTGCATGCTCTGGCTTTCAACAAGAACGGAGAGCAGATTCTATCACAGTCTGCAGGGCGATTCGATTTTGATACATGGAAGCGAGTGGTGGATGCAGCCCAACAGGCATCTGCTGCAGCAGTTGCGCCGGCAGATGAAGACGCGGCAATGATGAACGGCGTCGCGCAGGGAGAGCCATGGCTACGACAGACGCTTCAAGACCAGGCTATAGCTGCCAGTGCATGGCGTGGGAATACGTGAGAGCAACGATATGGGAGTAAGACACCAAACACCAAAATGCAGATGAATTATGCCATGGTCTCGACCCCGAAGAACACATCGCGTCCATATTTGTGACGGAATGTGGTAGCGGTGGACGGGATGCGCCAGGCTGTGAATCCTTCGGGCTTCAAATTGCAGAACGAAGAGAAGATTGACGAAGAGACCGATATGGTTATTGGTATGGCCTCAGGGAGCAATGGAGGACGTAGACCTGCGCTCCAACAGACGCACGTGCTGGACATTGAGTGTGTAGAAGCTTGCGTACGAGCATCATCTTCTCGTTCAGGTAGGTCGGTCAAGGGTCGCTCCTTCCCAGAAAACAGGCAGGAAGGAGTCTGCTGGTCCTTCCACATCTGCTTTCGCTCGTCAGGAAAACATCGAATCATCGCAACATTCTGATCTTCGTCCTTCTTCTCCCTCGTGGGGAGCATTACACCTCCTTCTCGTATTCGTTGCACCGTTTCTATACCTTCATTTGATCAACATGGGCAAACACAAGAAGAGTGCAAATGCCTCCATACAAGCATACCTCACTCCGGTGACGTCCCCCGTCAAGTCTGAAGCGAGGGATGCGCCAGTGGGCGATGGGTTCACTGCCGAGGAGTTGCAAAATGCCTTGAAGCCGAAACCTGCAGACATCTGGCACCCAGGTGTGACTGAACAGTGTACATCTAGGTCGGCACACCTCATACTAATCATGCTAGAGTTTGAATACACCGACATGGAAATCAGCGACCTGATTGCTGGACCCAGGGCGGTGACTTTCATGGGGCGAGTGGCGAATATGTTCGACGTGGCCAATTCGCCGCGAACACCACGCTCCGCCAAAGGTTGCGTCAAGCTTTGTATCAGAGATGGCAGCGGTGCCATCACGGTTCGCCTGTGGTGGGCAGACCGTCTTCCCAGCATCAGACTGGGATCACTGGTCTCAATCTGGGCCAACCACAGTGACTGCCTTTCCTTTACATTTCGATCGGTGTACAATAAGCTGACAATAGATAGTCAGCAATGGCGAGCATGGAATGCTATCGAGCTCCAGTGCTCCCCTATTCGCGTCTCTGTTCCCTGAGCGCGATCGCAGCTGCCACATCATGGTGCATGAGAATAGTGACGATGGCAAGATGTATCGTACTCCGCTCGACTACCGAGATGGCCTCCCCATCAATCGCTTGATGACCATTCAGACCTTTATGGACGGAGGCTTCGACGTGGTGGATGCGAAGATTCTTGTTGTGGTCAAGAGCATTGGCGCGAAGAGGAAAGGCGTGTTTGGGACTATTTCCTTGTCTCGGGTCTGGCTTGCTGATTGCGGTGAGTAGTAACACGCAAAGACGAAAGTGTCACGGAGAACATCAACCTGCAAGTCCACGACGATACTGGCGAAGCTACTCTGGGTCTATGGGGCACAGCCGCGTCCTCCCCGACTGCAGGCCCAGTCCCCGACCTCAGTAACCCAGGAACGAAGGTTGCACGGGAAGCTTGGAAGCCAGGCGAGACGGTCCTACTCATTCAAGCTCCAGGCTGGAAGTTGAGGCGAACTGTATGCTCTGCGGTACCTGCACAGCATATCTCGAATTTGACTGATGTCCTTTTAGATGTACCTCAGCCTGACCTCGGCCACAATTATCGACGTCGATCCCTCCATCCCAGACGCCGACTGGCTCCGGCGCTGGGCTCTCCGGCTCAAAACGCGCGAAGCCATCAATCCTCCGTTCCCCAAGGACGTATTCGACGACGCGCAGCTCGTTCGTACCGGTCCGATTCGTTGCCTGTTTACCATTGCAGATTTAGACGAGTTCATCCGCTGCGCACCCGAGGAGACGTTTCAAGGATACCTCAGCTTATTGATCATGGAATTCGAACTAGTTGAATACTGGAAACGTCAAATGTTGCTCTCGGGAGAGTGTTGTAGCATCCCGGTATATGCCAATGCCCTGACAGCGATGTGTAAAGGCTGCGATGTGGAAGTCCCGCTGCGGATCAATCCTCGAATTGTGGGACAGGTTCTGGATGAGACTGCAGCAATAGGGTGTGGGAAGCTCTTGTTCAGCGACGAAGCGTGGTCCGAATTACTCGGTCGACGACCGGGAGATGTGCTGCAGCTGGGGTATAGGGAACTCAAGGAACTGTCTGACCGGATCCTATTCACCCGAGTATCTGTACTCTTTGGGTGGACCTCAGACGAGACTCAAGCCGGTGGACGGATTTGTGTAATGGGAATCGAGGGATGAGGCGAGTTTTGACTTGTGGGGATCTTTTACCTGAGGTGTGCACGGAATTGGGAGGTATTGATCTCTTTTTATCATTGATATCTCTTGTTCAAATATAGTCAATATAACAATTCTAGTACCTTGGTACTGTATACAATTCTTTTCCTTCGTTCTAAATCGATTTCTAGAGTTTAGAAAAGGTGTGTACATGTATGTGGTCAGTTCTAGATAGGATAGTCTTGACGAGAGATTACCTAAGAAGTAAAGAATGGTAGAAAAGAAAAGGAAAACAAAAAAAAAAAAACAATTTATGAAAGCTACATATACCTAACCTTCAAGCAGTAGATAGAGTAAGAGTCTCTCCTCAGAGTAAGAGTAAGAGTAAGAGTACCTAGAGTCAAGATTTGAGACTACATATACCATATACCTACCTACCTACCTACCTACCTACCTACCTACCTACCTTACCTAGATACATATACTGTAGTCAGATTAAGCCAACACCTTACCTTACCTTACCTTTCTCCGTTTAGGTAGAATACCTAGTACCTATCTTACCTATCTTGACCTTAAGAGATAGGGAGATATAGAGGGAGGTAGAGGTAGAGGTAGAGTGTTATATTCTTTTCGCTTTTTTGTACCGGGAGATTTACACGATGGAATTGAGACGATAAGATATAGTCATGTTATTTCATTTCATGGTCATGTTATCCATCTAGTTATCTATCTAGGTACCTATAGTAGGTATCTATCTACCTACATAGGTGATTCACCTGATGCTATGTGATGTGATGCCCATGTTAACAAAGCTGCGAGTAAGAAAATACTCCGCTTACAAGTGATGATGATGATGATGATGATGATGATGATGATGATGATGATGATGATGATGATGAACGAGACAGAGTGAGGGAGAGGGAGAAAAAGAGGGGCTAATCTGCAGCCGTCATTCTTCTTCGTCTTCTCGTCCTTCTTCTTGTGGCTGTTACTCGTTCCTGTGGTTGTTGTTGTCGTTGCAGCCACCAGGGCGCCATCTCCAGTTCTTCATCTTTAGTCGTCGATTTCAAAAAGCTGAATGGATATTTCGCTCCTTCGCTCCTTCCCTTCCGCGCCCACAACCCAAATTCAATGCACGCTTGCCAAATACAACAAAAGAGTAAAACCAGAAAACGACAGCAAAATGAAAACAGAAAGATGCTCATCATGGTCGACCATGTTCTTCTCCACTCCCAGTGATGATGATGCTGATGACGTGATGATCCCTCGCTATGCTGTTGAATATTGAACGCGACTTTTTTCGTTCCCAGAAAAAAGAGAAAAGAAAGACCAACTCATCTCACTCATCTCTCTTTCCATCTCTCTTTCACATATGCACGTGATTGTGTGAGATGGAAAAAGAGAAAGAGAGAGAAAGAGAAATCTACCCCGTAGTCTGCCTCGCCACTTCCGCCTGAACCATCTTATCCGCCAGGTCCGAAGGAGTAGTTGCAGCAACAGCAACAGCAGCAGCAGCAGCAGTAGCAGTAGAAGTAGTCGTCGAATGAGTCACATTGCGAGCACCTGCCACCAGATAACCTTCATCCCTCTCGAGTTCCAATGGTGTCACGGGACCAGGACTGCCCAGAGGTGCGAGGCGTGGACTCGTGGGTCGACCAGCAGAAGTGGCAGCGGCGGCAGTAGCAGTGGCAACGACAAAGAGTTGGTGTTGATTGAAATAGAGCTGCTTCTGGGCGTCGTTGTACATTCTCTGATATGCCCGCGGGGACATGGGTGGTTGAGGGGAGGAGGAGTGGGAGTTTCCATCGGGAGTCGATTGGACACTGCTGGTTGCAGAGGGGAAGCGACTGGGATGGAATCGCGGAAGTGAGAAAGATGGTAAGCGGAGAGAGCGGTTGTGACGGTGCTGTTGTTGTTGTTGTTGATGTGGTTGATGTGGTTGATGTGGTTGATGTGGTTGTGGTTGTGCATGTGGAGAAAGTTGGTGATTGCTGTTAGAGCGCGAGTGAGGTGGGCGTTGCGGAGGTTGCAGCAAGTCGAAATATTGGCCGGCAGCAGGTGAGGGCTTGTATGCTCCGGGAGAGAGGGGTGAGGTGGGCCGCATGGCAGGCGAAGTGCGTGGTGAAGGCATTCCTCCTACTCCTCCTGCTCCTCTACTGGCGGCGAGTCCAGCAGTCAGTGCCGAGTATGGCCTAGTGGTGGGCGAGGGAGAGAGTGTGCGTGATGATGCAGAGGGTGTTCTGCGGTGGTGAGGTCGGGCGAAGGTGGCTGTTGTGGTGGTGGCGGTGGTGGTGGTGGTTGTTGCGGCGGTCGGGAGAGTGAGGTGGAGCTTGGAAGCAGACATTTGATGATGGTACCTCTGATAGTCGTAATGGTGGTAATGGTGGAGGTGATCAACAAAGGGAAATGCAACAGCACAAAGACGGGAGGTGAGAGGGACGGGAGAGGGGAGCAATGAAAGCAATGAAAGCAAGGCAAGGTGCAGATGGATAGTCTCTTTTTTCGTTGGTAACCAGTAGAATTGGCGGGCGATAAGAAAGATTTGAAGAGGGAATTTCCATCAAAAATGGTGACTCGGTGAGGTGGTTCATGCGTTGGACCCTTGACCAGTGGCGTGTGTTTGAGAGGTGGAGTCTGCCTAGAGTAGGTACATGTGAGGATCAGACCCTTGTGATTCTTGTGAAGAAGTGAAGATGTCTGATATGGTAGATATACTAGATACATGTAGACACAATAACAACAACAACAACAACATAGAAAATGACGACTTTGTTAGTAATACAACAGGCTGTATTCGATTGGGAATGATAAATCCAACTAAGCCAGCCACCCACCACTACCTGTACCCACTACCAACCATCACACAAACAAACAAAATCCTTAAAAAAGAATGACGAAGTGTCGATCACCCGTACAAGTGACAGGACAGGCCGGCAGAGAGAAAAGACACCAGACACCAGACAGAGAGAAAGAAAAAAAGAGTCAGATGACAACCGCTTCACGAACCCGAATGAATAATGACGCTACGGAGATACCTTAAGTGAGGACGGGAGGGAGAGGGAGAGGGAGGGGAGAGGGAGATGGCAGGACAGTGGACCTCTAATTCTATACCCCGCAATTCATTCACTTCCACTCTTCCACTTTTCCACTAAGCATGTAGGCACCTGCACTTATTGTACACGTGCACGCGAGACGCGGCTCTGGCGGCAACAATCAAAAATAAGAATAATAATAGACAATTTTCTTTTCTGTTTTGCGGTAGTACTTCTGCTGCAGGGCACTAACTTCAATCAAATTCTCCTCCTATTCGGAGAATATCAGAAACATTATAGATGGATGGGAAGGATTCAGTACCCGCCGGTAGGAGTGGATTTTTTACTTCGTTCGGTCCGTTACAGACTTACAGATGTTTTACTGCTGACTGATACATACAGGTAATGTAGTTGCCTGATGAGATACGGGAGTATACGATCTCTACTCCCTTGTCCACTTTGTTTAGACTTTCTTGATATGTACGCACTATGCAGACAGACACAGGACAGGGCTTGTACTACTACCTTACAGTCAGGTAAGTACTGTAAGGTAAGCGAGAGATGTCCGTATCTCGTTGTTTTTTTCTTGGTTCTTTTCCTTTTCCGATACGGAAATACGGATCATGATCATCATCATCATCATAGTACATATATCTACTTCTGCTCTGATCGCAAGAAATACAACCCATTCTCTCGTTTTGCGAGGAAGGTCCTTGTACCTTAGCTGTACTTATGTCAATGGCCTTGCTCCTTATCCGATGACGTGCAAGTAACAAGAACGAAGAAACAAGAAGAACAGGGACAAGAACAAGAACAACAACCACATGCTGCATGTATGTATGTATGTATGCCCTACCTCAGCCCTATTTGCCCTACATGTCCTGTCCTGTACTCTCCTACAAAAGCAGGTAGATCTTGTTCTCCTCCTTACGGGGCATCTACATCGTAACCTACCTAACACCCAAGATCCATATCCCCTCCTTTTCTTCCAGATACATATAAAAGTATAAGGTAGGTACCTTAGGTATAGGTCTGTAGACGCCTAATAGAACCCTCTACGATCTCAACAATCCTGATCTAGATATCCCCAAACGTATACTTTAAGTACCTTACCTTCTAGTAGGAATCGTACGACGGGAAATCGGGAAATCGGAAACGAACCTCATCTGATCTTATCTGATGATGATGATGAGAATTTTATCCTTGAAACTGTAAGGAGAAGGAGAAGAAGAAGAAGAAACGAAGAAGAAGAAGATTAAAGGAAGAATTTGAAACGAAAGAAGAAGGCTGGAGCCTGAAGTTTACCTACCTACCTTACTAGGAGGTACCTACCTACCGCTTCCTTACCGCTTCCTTTTACCGCTAACTGACGTGATGTTTCTTTTTATCCTTTCAGGGTCTTCTTTACAGTGTTTACCTTATAGTTGTAGCGGTGAATATTTCGCTAAGTCCTTATAGGTGATTGGATTTTTCTGACTTGATTGGATTGAATTCGGTGTAGATCTCTCTTGATTGGACTTCAAGATGATTGGATATTGTTTGGTGTTTGGTGTTTGATGTTTGATGCTGCTGCTGAGATCACAAAAGCGGTGAGAAACAAAAAAAGAAAAAAAACAGAATGGATAAAAGGAAAGAAACTTACCGCCCTCACCTCTTGTCTGCACTCATATATACTTCACACTTGAGAAGAGAGATATGTCATCTATGTGAGATTTACCTCGGAAAGAATCATCATGTACTAGGTAAAATAGGTCAGGTCAGGTAGTCATCATGACAACAACACAAGAGGAACGACAAGATGGGGAAAAATGGACATGGACATGTACTGTATGAGACATCATTGCCTTTCGTACTGCTTCTTCTTCTTCATCATTCTTCATCATCTTCGTCATCACCACCCCCTAAGTACTAGGTAGTACTGCTTAAAGCGAGACATGCGTCCACGGCACGACCGACATTTCCCTCCTGTGCCCGGACCACGTCCTCAATTACCTCGTGATCGAGATTGGGAAACATGCTCTGGAGTGTTCTGAGGGAATGCATTAGTACAATCACTTGGCACTCATCAGAAGAGAAGAAGAAAAAGAAAAGAAAAGAAAAAGAAGAGACTCACTCCACCACCACCTTGTGCTCCCGCACTCGCACTGCCTGCGCTTGAGCGACATCTGCACTCGCTTGTCGTGCCGCCATGTCCTCCGCACTCTGCCGTTGCTGACTGCGCCGTCGTTCCGTCGACGATCGCGTCCCTCCATGATTCCGGCTGCTGCGCTCCACTCGACCCGCGGGGCTCAACCCTCTCGGTGTCGATCCCGGCTGAGGCGTGCTCGCAGACCTGTCGTCGCTGCTGCTGCCACCGCCACCGCCGCCATCGTCAGAAAAGATGCGACCGATACTGCTGAGGGGCTTTTGAATACTGCGCAACAGTCCCGTCATGGCATCCGGTTCGTCCGCATTTGGCGCAGGATTATTGCTGCTGCCGCTCGTCTTCTCCGACAAACGCTGACTGGCCTTCCTCCGAGGACTCGATGTCTCGACTTCCATGCTGTTTCGTGGTGTCACTTCCGGCTGGCTCAGCCCACTCTTCTCGCTAACATGGCTGATCATGAGTCCTGCCGTCCGCGATGCGCTCGTCTTGGCATCGTGCTCTTCCTGCCGATTCTTCTCCGCGATCGCGCTCACGGCTTGCTCGACATTCTGTTCAAATTCCTCATCCTGAATCGTCAAGTTGGTGCGATCCAGATTTTCAATAAACGTCACCACCCCCATCAGAGAAGACATGTAGTAACCTGCTTCGCCTCCGAGCTTGTCCTGGTTGCGAAACCGCCAGATGTATTGCACATTACTGACTAGATTCTCGGGACGCGCTCGCAGAACCGTATATATCAGCAGCGGCACAAACGCATCCGCCGACTGATCCTGCTTGGCGTTCTTCAAGAACCCAAAGATGACTTTGCAGCAGTTCAATACACATATAACCTTGTCTCGCGGCGCGCGGTACGAGTTGATCTTGAGCAGCTCCTTCTGTGCAAGTGTCAGAAATTTGTCACCCTTCGGCCCTAGGGACTTTACGTCCAGATGCTCCTCCCGAATCCACCCGTATATTTTAATCTTTTGCGCAATCACCTCGTCACGCTCCACGTCTTCCTGATGCTGACCACGCCTTCCGGGCCCATGCACATTCGCGTGATCCGCCTGTGCTCGCGTGCTTCTTGCACTCTTCCGTGGACTGGATGGAGGAGCGGGGATGGCGGGCGAGAAGGTAAAGGAGTAGAGTCGATTCATGACGAGTTTCTCCATTCCTTCGCGAGCATTGTCAAACTCGGCGTCTGACACGGTGCGCCACACTTCGCACTGTGCCATTTTCCGCGAGATGAACTCGAGAAAGTCCGAGATGATCTTGACCTGCTCGTGTACCATCCACTGCCGCTTCCCGAACTCACCCAGAAATGATCGCAGGTAACGGGCGACTGGATCTGCAGACTTGTTCCGTAACTGCTCTAAAAAGCGATGAAAGTCAAACGGCAGGGCAGCCTCTGGTTCGGGGGAGGGCGGTGGAGGTTGAAACAGTGTGCCAGCTCTCGCGCTGGTAATGGATGACGAGTCATCTGCAGTGCCTCCCTGGAGACTGGAAGCGATGGAGGTGCCTGTGCCCTGTGGCCGTATCGGCGTGGGAGCTGCAACACTGGGTGCTGTGGACTTAGGACTGAGTACGTATGACTGCTGCTGCTCCAGACTCGACGACCGGGGTGGTAAGACGAGCATCGGCTGCTGGCGCTCTAATCGTGGGGACATGATGGCCTGCGCTTCCATGCCCCCCATGCCGCTCTCAAACTGGTCCATGATGTTCAAAATCTCGGTTCCTGTCGCTTCGGTCGTTCCCGTCGGTGCTTCAGGCACTTCGACCTGGGCATCTTCAGAGGAAGGTGGGTGCTTCTCATCGTACTCCACCTCCTTGGCTACCTGTTTCTTGGCCAGACTGTCCTTACGGGGAGGCATCGGCGGCGGAGGCGTTTGGGGCAAGTGGTGTTTGTCCTTGGCACGAGTGTCGACATTGCCATCGCTATCGTCTTCGCCCAGAGACATCTCCGACGCTCTCCGCGCAAGATGCTCGCTCGCTTGCCTCTCAATCTCGGCTCTTGCGTGCACATCCTCGCCGTCTGATGTTTCCAATGCTTCAGGCAATTCGTTCCTCACTTCCGCCTCCACTTGCTTGGCAGCTTGCATCTCGCTCTCGGTCGTGCTCATCACGGCATCGTCTCCCTCTACACGAGCCTCTCCATCCTTCAAATTTGCTGCGCTCACCGGGTCCGTCTTGTGGTGATCCAAGAGGGTATGCGACTGCGGTGGCGTCGGCGATGCTAGCAGACCATCATGTTCGTCCTCATTTGTTGGCGCTGCTGCTTCACGGACGCCAGACATCGACGTGGGCTCGATGTGTCGATGGTGTGAATGGGTCGCAGCTGCAGCTCTGCATGCCGTGACGACTCGATCGATTGGTGCAGGATGTCTGTCAACGGGTGGGAAAAGAGTCGGAGGTACATGCAGGTTACGCACTCGTAGCTCTCCCCTGCTCGACATCCACCACGCGCACGTGCGTGTCGATGTCTGCCGGACCTCTGCCGAAGTTCTGCCTGAGGGAGGTTCTAGTCAATGGAGAGGACACGGACACCACACCATCACATGCATACGCATACCTACCTCTGTACCACACCACACATCAGACTACCTACACTACACTACACCTCACTACACCTCACCACTTCCATACCACAATAAACACCCTGCCACCGCCACCAACACCGCCACCACCACCACCATCACCGCCATCACCGCCATCATCAACCAGGCTGCCGACCGGTGCCTCCCGTCTGCGCCATGATTCTCGTGTGAACTAACGACATATATGCCCGGGAAGCGCACTTCTGCTTCACACCCTCGGAACAAGCCATGACTTCGGCCTTGCTCGCCCACGAGCTGAGCACTCTTTCGTCGGAAGCCAAACGGAAGAATACTGATCTTCGAAATGCGGCCAATGCGTCCCTACAGGAGCTCAAATCGCTTACGGTGACCTCCGAACAGCAGCTCGCAGCTGGTAAGCGAGTTCCCTCCCGATTACATGTTACTATGGCTGACTGACCAAGATCTCAGAAATCGCCCTGGCTTTGTGCATCCCTTTCTCATTGCTTGCAGTACGCATACCACCCGATTTGCGGCAAGTGGCATATCCTGCCTCCAACGTTTGATCGTCTCGGGAGGACTGCCGAGAGCTCGACTGCAAGATACGCTGCAAGCATTCAATACTTGTGCAGATCTTGGCCTCGACGTCCAGCTCAAGATTCTGCAAGCTCTACCTTCATTGATCCAAAATTATGTCACTGACCTGGAAGGCGACCTGCTGGCCATTGCCCTCCAGCTCTGTGCATCATTGCAGGCATCAAAGACTGCGACTGTGAGCGGTGTAGCCGCTGCAACATTACAGTCTTTGGTCACGACGGTGTTCGAGAAGGTGGTCACCGAGGATCAAGCTGCGGACGACGAGGCGCCCACCGTTGAAGTCCCCGGCGGTGACGAAGCGATACAGCTCAAACCTGCAGCCTTCGACGCCTACAGAGTCTTTCGCGATCTCGCACTAGCTGCTGATGAACGACCTACGAAGTTTGTGGGCTTCCAGCAGTGTCTCCCCAGTCTGGAGCTTCTCTGGTCATCCATACACTCCAATCCCGACCTGTTCGCCAGACACGATGAACTGCTCTCCATTATTGGCGCCAACGTGTGGCCCATGATCATCCGAGCGCTGTCGGAGAGGCTCTCGTTCTCGGTCACGGTACGCTCTGTTCGTCTTCTGAGCTTGCTGTTGGACAGACATCTCTCCCGATTCTCAGAAGACTGCGAGGTGGCGTTGAACTTGTGCACGCAAGCGCTGGAGTATGACTACGCCACCTCTTGGAAACGAGCATTAGTTCTGGAAGTACTGCGAGATTTCTTCTCCAATGGGGGCTTGGTGGTCGAAGCCTACATGGCATTTGATATGCAAGAGGGTGGGAAGCCAGTGGTGCAAGACATGCTATCCGCATTTGTACGTTTATCGACCGAGAAGCCTGCGGCGATTGGTTTGGGGCAACAGTCGTCTGTACCGACGGGTCCGACGTCCCCGGGACAAAGTGCAACTGATCATGCCGCTCTCGAAGCTGCAGGAGGCATGGCTGGCGTCATCTCGTTCGGAGCTTCGTTCGGAGTGGCAGAAGCCAGCATTGCCGGTGTGAGCGCGCAATGGAGTCTGCCTCGCACACTCGTTCTCGAACAACTTGACAAACATGACCCACCCACCCTTGCCGAAACTTATCCATACGCCCTGATATTGGAATGCTTGAGTGGTCTGTCAGATAGTCTTGCTAAAATAGTCCTGCCGTTGACAGTGCAACACGAGAAGCGCCGACCCAAATCATCCAGCACTTCCACCGAATCCAGTGGCGTGGCGCAGGGCAGAAAGCGTTCGACGTCGTTCCGCACTCGAGCCGTACCTATGAATCCACTAGACGCCAAAGATGCACCTTTTGCTGGACGGGTCTCGGCCGTGGCGAGCATCGTGGACAACTCGTGGCCTGCCGTTCTCGCAACAGCATCCACTTTCCTCAATGCTGCACTCGATGACACATATTTTCGCAACCTGATCAAGGCATACCAGCGATTTGTGCAAGTCGCAGGTGTCCTTCGCCTCAGCACACCACGAGACGCACTCATGACCACACTGGCCAAAGCTGCTATTCCTCCGCACGTGTTAAACGCAGCTATCATGGAGCCCGTGAAATCGCCAGTTGCGGAGAGCCCGAGGATCTTCTCGAACCCGAAAAATGCGTCGATTGTAGAAACTCTCGTGTCTCCATCCTCGTCTCTGCCAATGGACGCCAGCCGACGAAGTTCCATGGAGAATGTGAAGCCTATGCTCACCGTGCGCAATCTGCTCTGCCTACGAGCCCTTCTGAACATTGCAATAGCCCTGGGACCGACCTTGCAGGGCGCGTTTGCAGTGATCGTGAGTGCGCTGAAGCAGGCGGACATGGTATTGAGTACCACGACGCCGCAACAGCTGACTCGCCAGAGTTCGTTTTCCGCTCACGGAAGTACCGACAATGCCACCATCGTACAAGCATTCTCTGCTGAAGTGGCCAATGTCGAGAAAGCCGCGTCGAACCTGCTGGAAAGCACATCGGACTACCCGAATGAAGCCTTCATCCATGTGCTCGCCACGTTCTGCAAATTGTTGCACAGCAGCGGCGAGGGATTCTCATCGCCCGCGTCACCGACTCCGGATCAGCAACCTGCTCCAGCCAGGAGACCTCTGTCGAATCGACGCACTTTCTCGGGGCTCCCCGGTATCAGTGCTGTCGTAGAAATGCGGTCGCGCGACTACCATTTTGTGCTTCCCAAGCTGGGAAAGCTGGCCGAGCTGAACGTCTCCCGCTTCACCAGCGACAGCCCCAGCGAGAGCGGCTGGAATCTCCTGGCCGAAGAATTGGCGACTGTTGCGAAGAACAACGACGTACCCAGAGACGCACGTCGTAGTGCGACTCATGTGCTTGTGAAACTGGCGGAGGCTACGATTGCCGAGGTCGTGAGAGAGGAGCCCGAGGATCGAGTGGATGTACAGCGGCGAGGGCTTTCGATGCTGCTCCGAATCATTGACGAAATCTACCTCGAAGACGGCGACCTGAGCCAGACAGACCTGGAAGTACAAAGCTTTGTCTTTGAGTCACTCCACGCGATTCTGGAGCGGCACGGCGAGTTGCTCGTGGCCGGCTGGAACTTGGTCTTGGCCATCATCAGCAGTGCGTTCGAGCACGATGGCGTACAATCTCGAGCCACCGAAAACGACGAAGTCACGATCGACTGGATGCACATCTCTTTCGAGCTCGTCACGCCTCAAATCGGCCGGACCGCTTTTGATGCCACGCAACTGCTGTGCTCTGACTTTTTGGATCTGCTGCCGATCGATACTGTGACATCCCTCATCGAGCTCTTACATCGCTTCATGTGTCAATTTGCTGACCTGAATGCGTCTCTGACTGCTGTCACCATGACTCTCGCTGTGTCCGATCATCTGTTTGCCAAGTCCACCGCGGCCGAATTGGATGCCTTCGTTCATACCGCCACCGATTTCGACGATCTTGAAGACGAAATGAAGCCCATGCTTCGCACCTGTCGTCCTGCCCAATGGCTCATGCTCCTGATTCGGCTGCGAGATGTTGCTGTTCAGCCACAACATGAAATTCGCAATGCCACTTTTCAAACCATGTGTGGCGTTCTGAAGAGCCATGGCGACGAATTGTCTCCGAGCGCATGGGATCTCCTGTTGAGGAGCACGCTCTTGCATGTCTCGAGAGCAGACTCGTATTCTTATGTGGAGTTAGCTGATCGTCGTGAAGCAGAAGGATCGAGCCCTGCACCAGATATCGCCATGTCCAGGACCATCATATCTGGAACTTCCGGAGTCATCGCGCAACACCTTCGTCTAATTGAGCAAGTGAAGAAACTTCCCAGCCTCTGGGAGGTATTCCTGAGCATGCTGGAACGCTATCTCGACGTAGAAGATTATATTCTCAATGCCACGGTATACTCCTCGTTGGCTCAGGTGCTCTCGGGAATCCTGCCATCGGCAACATTGTGGAAGTCCCCCATCTACAGGACCATTTCCCTCTGGCTTAAGCGCGTACCTCAGTTTGAAGATGGTCCGCATGTAGCGAAGATCAAGAGCAATCAGGATGCCTTTATCGCCTATGCCGAAGCTGGCACAGAGCTGTACAGGCTCACATTCGATAGCCTGAGCATATCACAAGCTCGAATTCTGATTGACAACATGTTTCACATTGTCAAGAACTCCGATGGCCCTCTGTATGGCGGCGACACGAACACGATGAGCCCCTTGCAGTCGAAGGTATTCGCACTGCTCAAGAGCATGAAACTGGAGTCACCAAGCCTACCTGCCTGCTTGATCACAGTTGCAGCAAAATTCACGACATTGCACCACCACACAGCAGGCTCTCGAGCATCGGGAAAGCAAGGACCTACCTTTATTGCGCTGTCTCATGAGGCTATCGCGTGGCTGGAGCAATTGATCATGCCCATGTTCAGCGATCCAGAGGTCTTCGAGTCTAACGCCCTCACTCTGACCCTTCAAGCGTTGCGACAGATTGCAGAAGCGAAGTACAGCGTCAAGGCTGAGCAAAAAGGAGTTCCTCTATGGCAGAGAGCGACCACGGCCGCACTCACCATTGCAGCACCTGCACTCCAAAGGGTGGATGAGGTTGACGATACAATACGAAGTCAAGTCTTGCACCTGATCGGCATCATCAACGCCATCATAAGTAGCGATAGCCTCCCGCATATGCAAGACGCCCAAAAGATTTACGACGATCAGCTTTTTGACATTAACAGCTTTCAAAAGATGCGAGATGTGCTCGTACCGCGACTCGGCAACCCGCTCTTTCCAGACGATTTCCGATTGTCATATGTCTACCAGCTATACCGAGCGTCCATCATCCACCCACCCGAGGATTGCGATTCCCTAGAGGCTGGCCAGCCACCACTGAAAGATATTTCGAAAATTCGTCGAGGTCGGGTCAAAAAGGTTGCTTACTCGCAGCGGGAAGACATGGCTTATGTCTGCTGGAAAGAACTACAAGCTCTGGCTTCTCCACAGCACAAGACTTCTGATGAAGATGCTCCTCCTGACATGCTCGCACAAGTCGCCACTCCATTCCTGATCCGTCGTCTGGCGATGCCCATTCGAGCGTACATTGCAGATCAACCCTTGAGAGGCAAGCGTCCACAGCCGTTGTCGGAACTGGAAGAGTTATTGTTCAGCTTCGAATGTATCCAGACGTTGAAGCTCCCTCCTCACGCGCTTGCAGCCGAGTTGAAGGAGGGTGGTATCCAACGAAGCTTTGCGCAACCGCATTTGCACTTTTTGTATCCCTTGCTGGTGCAAGCGGTGAGTACGGCCTCGGATAAATGGTCTGGCGCGGATGAAGTCCTGGTTCCTTTGCACTCTCTGTTGGAAAGCATCGGTTTTGGTGAGCTTTGAATAGATAGCAGGAAAAGAGAAAAAAGAGACTGAAATTCCAATCTCATCCCTCTTCTCTCTCTCTCTCTCTCTCTCTCTCTCTCTCTCTCTCTCTCTCTCTCTCTCAATCTTTATACTCCCACGTCACACATTCCCCATCATGTATCAAAACCGTATATCCCTCCCCATCAAACCCCGCCGCACTCATCGCCATCCACTGATGATGATTCTCACCATTTGTCCCACCACCACCACCACCACTACTACTACTATTCCCTCCAGAAGCCTTCAACGCCGCCAAAACCACCCTCATGACAAATCCCGGATGCACCAATCCCCTCCATCGAAATTTCGAAATCTGCTGTGACGATAACTTTTCCTGTTGTTCTTCCTCCTCTACTTCTCCTTCACTCCCTGGCGATTGTTCTCCCACAACAGAACAAGAAGGAACGGAATATCGACATAGATAAGAATCCATCGCGTCATCTGCTGAGATGCGAGGTGAGCCGAGGATTGCTAGACTGATCCATTCGAGGAGTTCGGTGGATTGGATGGGGTCTGGAGTTGGATTTGTTGGAGTTGTCGTGGAGGACTTTTTGTTGTTATTGTTGACTTTTTGAGTTGGAGTGGGCCAGATGGGAACGAGAACGTTTGACATTTTGTGAATTTCGGGAGAAATGGTGAAGAGGGTTGGGGCGAAGGGTTGAAGGGGGTTTTCTCCTTCTTCTCTCATCGTGGCAGTTGGAGAAGTGGTGGGGGCGGTAGCGTCACCACCGTTTGATTCCATCTCCTTCTTCCCCCTCACGGTAAAATCCACAAAAAGCCACGTCAAACTCCAATTCAACACATTCTTACACGCCCACACCACTCTTTCCCACCCTTTTGTCCCCTGTACCATTTTCGGCGATCTCAAATCAATCTCAATCGCAAACCGGGATTTCTCATGTTTTTTTCCCTCGCCATGCGTGGATGTGATGCTGCGGATGACTCCTCCTGCGGATAATCCCAATCTCTCATACGTAGGTTTGTCGACTTCCAGCCGTAGAATTCCTTCGCAAATAGAAAAGATGGGGTCGATTCCGCGGCGGCCTTCGGAGAGCATGAGGATGTTGGAAGTGGGGGATTTGAGGTATGCGTGGAAGAAATTTCCGGTGAGGATTTCGAGGAGTTTCATGTGGACTTTGGAGTAGATGAGAGTGCTGGAGTTGTGATTGTTGTTGTTGAGAAAAGATTCTGTAAACGAGGTTGCTGCTGGTTCGGGAAGAAGGAGATCCAAAGTGTGAGAGTATGTTCGACTCAGAATTGTATTGAAAGGTCGCTTCTTGCGTGGAGGCTGGTCGTGGTCGATGTAGTTGGAGAGAGTAGTGTGAGTGACCAGACATCTTGGTTTGGGACCTTCATTTTTCGTGAAGTTGAGCATGCTTGAGCGATTGATCGATGTGCAAAGATTTCGAATCTCTTGGCGGTAAGTCTTGTAGAGCCGTGTCTGACAGTCTCTTGTTCCTTGAATGCGCTCTTCACAACGTTGATACCATCGATGACAAGGACAATAATATAAAGAGATGGAAAGACATGTTTGAAAGGTTCACTCGGCACGGCGCTAGCGGGACGGCGCGGGACGTGGAGTAACGGGCGCTACCAGCTACTTACTGGCAATCCGGCATTGGATTCTCAAGACGTCTATAAGGTATGCGGTAGTAAGAGACTGGAAGACGACGAGAGGGTTATACGAGAGTGTCATTAGAGTCACCTGTGACGGGAGCGACCCTGTTAGGAGGAGACTGGTACACAACAACAGAACTTCTCTCAGCATCTTTTCAACATATTCCACAGTGTCCAGTACCGATCACCACCGAAGATGCTACACTGATCGACGAAGCACAAGCGCCGCCCTCAGATTTCATCGGGGTGCATAGAAGCACTTGGCATGATGGCCCTTCCAAGTATCGAATAAGAATGTGCCGCATGAGAGGGCATGGTCAATCTCGCACTGTGTGATGTTCTATTTTGCACTTGCAGCGCCTACGTCTTCTCGCAAGCAACTAAACTTATACCAAGCACTAAGCTGTACTCATGTCTCCAGCGCCTATTCCAGATACCTACCTGACCATCCCAGCTCCATCATGAACTCCCGTAAATTTCGTAAAAGCTCCCATGGAGCTATACATATGCGCCGTTTGACCAGTCTTACTTTATGCACAAACAACCCAGATACAATCAACGCCTGCCCCGAAATCAGAAAGCTGCCACACCGCAGCATGGGTATATTAATTCAATCAGTCGAATGTGAGCGCTGTTTTTATCCGCGAGGAAACTGTTTACGAAAACCAAAGAAGGGGCTCGAGAATCTATTCGCAGATCTGCTGGTAGCCGTGGTAGTGGCAGCCAGTCCAGCAAACCCGGTCGAGTGTCCGGGTGGAAGGAACATTTCGACAATCGAGACCCGAGCGAAGGAGGATGGAGTTCAGTGAGTAGTGTATTGGCTTGCATGTTCGTGCCTTTTTTTCACGAAGTCCGCACCCCGATGCCTGAACCTGAACCGGAAGAGAATGCCGGAGTATTCGTGTTGGATGGAAACTCCTATGTGAGGGTCAGTACGTACGGCCACTGAAAGTGATGACAGCAATGCACTAGCCACCCGCCATCCAATGATATTGATACTGCAGAGGGACAAAATAGAGCGCATGGCCATGAGGCCGTTAACTTTTGCGGTCGAGGCCACATCATGTTATACGCAATGGGCCGGATGGTGGAAGCATCATGTCAATGACGCTGTATGACAGCCATGGAATTCCTAACTCACCTTTCGCTTTTGGCGTTTGTTGGGATCCCTCCGCCGCCCAGCGTCATCCACGCCATCTGTACTGTAGACATCGTCTTCGAATCCTTCGCCGTACCCTTCGAAACTGCTGTCGCCGTAACCTCTCTTCTTGCCCGTTCTGACCGCACGGGCGCCGTTTCTTGGCGAAGACGGTGCAGAACTGCGGAGGGCGGCAGCTGGCGCAGTCCTCGCAAGGTGAGCACTGGCAGTGGCCTGCTTTGGATCTCTGGACACGCCCGCATTCTTCGCAGCCACCGCGATCTCGTCCAAACCCAGGCTCTTCCTCCACTGCTCGTGTTCCGACTTTGGTAAACGGCCAGTTTGGAACTGTAATGCAGAGTTCAGCTTGCCCAGGAGATCAGTTTCGGCAGCAGCATCACCTAGTCGGAATTCCTGCCAGCGTTGATCCCACATGGTAAGGCCAGGCGCCACCTCGCTACTCCAGAGAGGATCAACGAGTCCTTCCAGCTCACTTTGGTTGGGCACAGCCTTGTTCAGTCCTTCGAGACCAAGATTCTTAACCTTGCTAGCATAGGACTTTCTAAGTTTGATCTTATTTCCTGCAGGATCCAACCTGGCAACTCGTCGTTGGATGTCCGACAATTCGTATAGCGCAAGGAGGTTCTGACTGGGATGTGGCTGTGAAGGTGCGATGGCTACAGAAGTTCACAGCTTTAGCAAGGCACATATCATGTATATGCCAATTGCTGGGGATACTTACGAGTGATGGGGAGTCTGTAGAGCTGCGCCGCTGCGCTTGACGATGTCATCGTGTTCTCTCCGCTGCCTCCTTGTCGCTCGTGGTCGCTCCTTCTGTGCTCGGTGCCCGCTGGTGTACCATCATGTCCGCCTTCACTGTCCTGCCGGTCCAGCATTGCGGAGTCGCCGTCACCGTCCTTGCGCGCTTCACCGTCGTCTTGCGACGCAGGAGTTTGGTGTCCGTTCTCACCACCGGACTCTGCGCCATCACGACCAGCCATCCGAGTTTGAAATCCCGCGGTGCTCGGAGGTGAAGGAAAGTTGCCACCGCTGGCGGGCTGCTGTTGATGCGTTGTTTGTGACTGCGCCGTCCATGACGGGGACATACGGACACTGGGAGGCGGTGTTGAGTAGTTCGGGATAAAGGCCTTTGTCGGCTCTGAGGTCGGACGAGGGCTGGCTGGGGAGTAGGATTCAAGTCGCTGCCGCTTAGGTGAACGTTCGCCGTCGAGTGCGGACATTGACGCAAGCGAGCAGTGTCGAGAGCCGGAGTCCGCGAGCCGTGGTCGTCACTGCTGCTGTTGTTGTCGTCGTTGTAGGAGATGTCCGCGTAAAAATGGCTTGCCAGCGCCCGCGGTTATGCCCGAATTCCGTCTCACACTATCGACCGCGGCGGCGGTTGATCGAGGCGCTCTCAAGGTCCGGCAGTCATCTAGGCGTCCAATGCCGAGGAGCGGGCAGCGTCGGTGTGTGCTGTTGGTGCCAGTGGGAGGCGGTGGTGGTGTTGGAGGAGGTGGTGGAGGTGGTGGTGACGGTGGACAATGTCGTCGTTTGGAGCTGAGGGAGAAGGGCAGGGCAGGGCGGGCGGGCGACGGATGGATGAGCGAGACGGATGGCACGTGCTTCGTGTTGCGCTCCACTCGGTGCCTTACCAGCCTACTTTGACCTATGAGGCTTCTGGCTGCTGTCTTCACGTAAACACTACATTAGGTAATCTGACTACTTGCCTCCATCGGCTACCTAGGTACCTCCTACCATTCGACAGCAGGACCGCATCGGGAGTGCATGCTCCCACAACACCATGACCAGAACCTGAAGCAGCAAACCTGGACATGGCGGATGAGATCGAAGATGACGGGCCTCGTCGGCCTGCTCCGACCGTGTCGCGAACCGGAACCGCCACCACTGCCTTGAACCCATCGCATGCCTCTGCCTCTGCCTCTGGCTCGCGTCAACATCCACTTCCACATCAACATGTAGCACCGGCCCGACAACAACAAGGCATGGACCGACAAAGTGGCGCCTCGTCGACTACCAAAACGGGAGTGCAGCAGCCAAAGCCGCAAGCATTGCCCCGACGAGCCGGCCCAGCCTCCATCATTGTCTCGCCACGACAGAAGGGCAATCCTCTCCTGGAAAAGATCAAGTCGCTGCCCTGGGAATACGGCGATATACCAGCCGATTATGTCCTCGGGGTGACGACGTGTGCCCTCTTCCTGAGCCTGAAGTATCATCGCCTCCATCCCGAGTACATTTACACGCGAATCAAGAACCTGCAGGGCAAGTATGCGCTCCGTATTGTCTTGTGCATGGTGGACATTCAGAATCACGAGGAAAGCTTGAAGGAACTGAGCAAGACGAGTGTCATCAACAATGTCACCATCATTCTCTGCTGGTCTGCTGCCGAAGGTGCACGATACCTGGAGTTATTCAAGACCTACGAACATGCCGCCCCCACTTCAATCAAACAACACCAGTCTACATCATACAGTGATCGCATGGTGGACTTTGTGACTACTCCCAGGTCCATCAATAAGACCGACGCAGTCTCCTTAGTATCTCAATTCGGCACGCTCCGAACTGCGGTGAATGCAAGGCACGAAGAAGTCGCCTCCATCGGAGGCTGGGGTGAGAAGAAGGTACAGCAATGGGTTGGGAGCGTCACTGAACCGTTCAGAGTCCAACGCGCTGCCAAGCGTGGATTGCAGCTAGAGAATATGGTGGCCAGTCAACCAATTTCACTATCGCGAGGTGTTGCACGAGCAGAGCCCGAGTCGACCACGGATACTCCTACTTTCAGTCATGCTGATACTGACCACCAGGCTGATGCGGATCGTCGTCCTCCCATCCGCCTTGCAGAGCCTGGACTCGGAGCAGATCTAGCCGTTGAAGATGAAGCGGTGTTTGCAGAGGCCATGAACGCGGCAATGCTGCCCACGAAGAAGGCATCCGGCCCTGTGCGGGAAGAGCCAGTAGCGGAGCCATCGAGAAAACGAAAACAGGATGAAGAAACTCTCAGCGATGGGGTGATGGCTGCATTAGCTAAGCTGAGAAAGCCCGGCTGAGTCTGTCGCTCTCATCGAAGAGATGCATGCCAATCAAGACTAATCGAAGGCCCCCTTGGCAAGTCCTTTTGCAGAACCGACCACGTTCAAGCAGAAGTGATCATCTTTACCATGGCCAGCATTGATAGAGTCTCTCTCGCGACTAAGCGCGGCACATGTCTCGTTTTGAAGCAGCCCTTTGGCAGGGAGCCTGCATGGCACTAGTCTGCCTCTTTTCCATCTGCTTGAATCTTCTCGAGAAGTGAGGACAGCACACATCGCCATCGTTGGTCACGTTAAACCTCCGCGCGTGCTACCTGCTTGCTCATCCTGCGCCACTCCTGCCGGCTCATGTTGATGGAGAACGTCGCTGCGCAAGCTACGCCACCAGTATGCAAGTGAGACGTCGAAGTGTTCAGGTTTGGCACTTGGAACTTGTTAGCCTTCCTGGCTCAGCTTGCGCGATCCGACTCCATGTTGATGTGTGCAACACCTTACTAAATCACTCTGCAATGGACCTGAGAAGAGTGTCGACGAGTTGAGTATTTCGGATCGCCGATATCATCCGCGTCAGACAATTCTCACACTTGGGTACGGTCAAAGCCGTTTGCATTGCCTCGCGCGAAGTGTGAAAGGAGAAGGGAGAAGGGAAAGCTCAACTTCTCACTATCCATAGTTTGAAGAGTGTTGAGTAACAAATATCATGTGCTCAAACAGACACGCAAAGGCATGCAGCGGTCGGCGGCGGTATGGATAGTTTGCAGAGAACAATTTGGGGGCACACCTTCTCCATCTCCCTCCTCCTCCTTCTTCTTTCCCAAATCCCTTTCAAGCTAGAACGTCCGATCCCTTTTGATAATGTAGGGGAGGATGAGGCCGACATGGTAGTTCTAGTTCTAGTACTACTCTTGCTATCCGTCTTATTCCAACTTTCAGGCCCTTACTACCATCCTCCGTTCATTCATGTTTCTTGTGAAGATTTGTAGCATTTCAATTGTGTGGCTGATACCGCGCCTATATCGCCATATGTGGTGTGTGTGCATCGTTGCAGGCCCTGGTTAAGACTAGTCTTTGCTGGGCTTAGCCTATGCAATAGCTCCACTTTTATTTATCGCGAAAGCTGCTGGGGAAACTTTTCGAGCTGTGGACATCGACCAAAACACCTTCATATGCCACTCTCAGCATGGCGCAAAAGGCAGGACAAAAACGAAAGGTGGTCGAGGTTGCGAGACCAGAGATAAATGACGAAGAGTCGGAATTCGGCAATGTCGCTCTGAATGGTGCATTCGACCACAGCGACAGCGAAGACAACAGCGACGACGAATTCGACAGCGAAGCGGATTTGGATGACGAAGAAGACGAGGAGGAGGAGGATGAAGATGAGGAGGAGGATCTGGATAGCGACGAGATTCCTTCGTCCGAGGACGAAGAGGACGTGCGAGGCCAGATCCGCAACCTGAAAAGCAGCGGCACGCCTGCCACGCCGGAGAAACTGATGGGCACAGACACCGGCAGAGACATACAGAATCTGTCAAAGTCGCCGGATATGTCCATGAAGCCTCTGGAACTGCATGACCGCACCAAGACTTCCAATTACCGCGTGGAGGAGGATGCGAATGGCAACGAACGATACGTTTACCAAGACATCGACCCTGCGTACGACACCGACGACTCCGATGCACCCGTCACTTCGAATACGATTGGCAACATCCCCTTGTCATACTATGACGCATACCCGCACATCGGTTACGATATCAATGGGAAGAAGATTGCCAGACCAGCCAAAGGCCAGGCGCTGGACTCTCTTCTTGAGAGCATTGACTTGCCAGAAGGCTGGACAGGCTTGACAGATCCGACAACGGGCAAGCCATTGCAACTGAGCAGGGACGAGTTGGAGACGCTGAAGAAACTGACACGTAACGAACAACCAGGCGATGGCTATGATCCATATCCAGACTATGTTGAGTGGTTCACAGGCAAAGGTATGGAGGAAGTCATGCCTCTCTCTGCGGCGCCAGAGCCGAAGCGCAGATTTGTTCCATCGATGCATGAGCACAAACGGGTCATGAAGATGGTCAAGGCAATCAAGGAGGGTAGAATTAAGCCATTCCGCGCGCCAGACGAGGAGGAGCGAGAGAGGGAAGAGGCAGAGCTGGACTATGCATCGTATGATGTGTGGGCGAACGAAGCACCAAAACCAGACCACCCCATGGTATGTATTGTTCTCCGCGGTCATTTACATGGCATTTAACTGACCGCTCCTAGAACATGCCTGCCCCGAAGCTACCACCACCTGGCTATGAGGAAAGCTATCACCCACCTCCCGAGTACTTGCCAGACAAGCAAGAACGGGAGCAGTGGGAGAAAACGGATCCTGAGGACCGCGACCGCGACTTCCTGCCCCGAGATCATTCTGCTCTGCGACGTGTGCCTGGTTACGATGAGCTGCTGCACGAGAGAATGAACCGATGTCTGGATCTGTACCTGGCGCCGCGTGTGCGCAGGAGTAAGCTCAACATCGATCCAGAATCGTTGCTGCCCAAGTTGCCAGATCCCGCCGAACTCAAGCCCTTCCCGACTACTTGTCACAAGACATTCAGCGGGCATGAAGGTCAAGTTCGATCAGTCGCTGTGGATCCCAGTGGCACTTACATTGCTTCTGGAGGTGTCGACGGCACGGTGCGGATCTGGACCGTAGAGACTACACGGCAAGTGCGGCGCATCAGACTATCGCAATCCGAATCGGTGAATGTGGTAGCATGGCGGCCAGGACAAGGTGCTTTCATTCTTGGTGCCTGTTGTGGAGACACCGTATACTTCATGACCCCACAGTCCGAAGAAATATCAGAGGAGGTGCAAGAACATGCGCACGAAATCATTGACGCAGGCTTCGGTTACGAAGCAGCTAATATTGCAAAGACTGCTGATGGAGTGCCAAAACCCAAGGCTGCGACATGGGCACGGCCGCCACAAAATCTACAGGATAAGGGTATCCTTCTTACGCTCACACTACGATCGACGCCGAAAACTCTCGTGTGGCACCGAAGAGGCGAGTATTTTGCAACCGTTTGCCCCCAATCGAGCTCGACATCCACATCTGTTGCGATACACACGCTCAGCAAACATCAAACACAACATCCCTTCAAGCGACCAAAGGGTCTGGCACAAACGGTGTGCTTCCATCCCTCTCGTCCCCTCTTTTTCCTCGCTACCCGGCAACGAATCCGGATCTACGACCTACAGGCGCAGAAGCTGGAAAAAGAGCTTCAACCTGGTGCTCGTTGGATCAGCGATATCTCTCTACATCCCATGGGGGACAACCTCCTGGTCTCATCCTACGACAAGCGTCTTCTCTGGCATGATCTCGATCTCGGAAGCACGCCTTACAAGACATTGCGTTACCACACCAAAGCCATCCGCAGTGTCAAGTTTCACAACTCGTATCCTCTATTTGCTGATGCATCGGACGATGGCACACTGCAGGTGCTGCACGGCAAAGTGTTTGGCGATTCCATGGAAAACGCTACTGTGGTGCCATTGAAGATTCTGCGTGGACACAAGATCAAGAGTGATCTGGGTGTGCTCTCTGTGGACTGGCATCCTACTGAAGCGTGGCTCGTGAGTGGTGGCGCTGATGGGACTGTTCGGTTATGGGTGTAGGTTGCAAAAGTAGATAACTTATTGTATAGTTAGCGCCATGTGCATGCGGCCATATCACCTCATTGTAGTCGAGTTCATCGTCCACAGAGATTCTTAGGCTCAATACGTCGTCCTCTCGTGGCTTGACAGAACATGGTCGTTGGTAGCTGATGGATACTGTCCTTATTTTGCGAGTAGATATAGACAAATGTTTCGTGAGATGAAAGTGAATGTTTGTGAACATGCGCAAGGATTACGGCAGTACCCGCCGTGCATATCTCGCTCTACTTCCACTACCTAACTTAGTTCAATCACCCAACGACATCTTGCCCATCAGACACATTTCGCCCATACACCGACTCTCGCCATTTCCATCATTACACAATCCGACTGTCAAGTAGACAGAACCTGTCGTCGGATTTGGGAAACATGGCTCCGGTCAGCGAACAACTCCAGGTGCTCGAACACGCGTCCGGCAACGAGAGAGTGCAAGGCTATGCCGCGATACTGCAGCAAATTGTCACATCGGCCGACAACATGGTGCCGAATCTGGTGGCGTATATCCAAAGCATCACATCGGACCATGTGGGCGTCATCAACTCTCGACCGCTTCTGTCGGCCTTTGTCGAGCAGTTTCGGACTCTCAGCACCGAAGTGAAGTTGGAGGTTGGGTAGGTTGACAACAAGTCTCAGAGTCTATGGGGTAGCAGACTCTCGTGCTCATTTTATATTAATTCACAGGCCCGAAGTCGTTCAGACTCTACAGCCCAAAGTGATCTCGTTCGAGCAGCAAGACACCGACGTCAAACTCCTTCTCGCAGATGCCTACGAAGCCGATGATGACTTTACCAACTCCGCCAAGACGCTGCAAACCATCTCCCTCGAATCATCACAGCGCAGTGTCAGCGACGACGAGAAAGCCAAGATCTGGATGCGCATCTGTCGGTGCTACCTCGAAGATGATGACCCCACCGACGCCACATCCTATCTCAACAAGATCAAGCAAATCTTCCACAATGTCACCGACCAGGCGACGCGCCTCCAATTCCAGCTGTCCCAGGCACGCATATCAGACTCTCATCGACACTTCCTTGATGCATCGCAAGCCTACTACTCGCTCTCCAACGAAACCGTCATCGACGAGGAAGAACGTCTGCAAGCTCTTTCCGCCGCCATCACATGCGCTGTACTCGCGCCCGCAGGACCGCAACGTGGCAAGCAACTTGCCAAAATCTACAAAGATGAGCGAGCATCCGACGTGCCCGAATTCGGCATTCTCGAGAAGATTTTCCTAGACAGATTACTCTCTCCCTCAGAAGTCGGCGCGTTTGCTGCCAATTTGAAAGAACACCAACTGGCCAAGACTTCGGATGGCAGCACTGTGCTCGACAAAGCCGTGCTCGAACATAACCTCCTCGCGGTATCGCGCATCTACGCCAACATCACATGCGACAATCTCGGCAAGCTTCTCGGCGTGGATTCTGACCGTGCGGAGGCTTATGCGTCGGGTATGATTGAGAGCAGTCGTCTCTCGGGCTCGATTGATCAGATTGCCGGCGTCATTCATTTCAACAGCAAAGAACCTTCCAATTCCAAGAGTGATTTGCGGCTGTGGGATAAGAATGTGCAAGGATTGGCGGAATCGGTCGAGACGTTGACGACTATGCTTCAGAGAGAGGAGCCGGTGTGGTACGAGCAACAGATTACAGCTTGAGAGAGTAGGGAGAATGAATAAAAAGGCCGCTGAGTTGGTGTGAACCTCGAGTACTTACTTGATTTCGCTATATCAAGTCCCGCTTCTGAGGATTCCACTACAGTTTCAAAAGAAGCATCTCGCTCGTACATCGCAGCGAAAACCAAAAGGAGAAAAAGGAATTAGACTTCCATTATCCAAAACATGTTTGTTAGTGTAGACGAGCAATCCCCAGCAGAAGCAGCAGCAGCAGCAGGAACGAATGAATAACAGTACCTTGACTCAAGACTGCTTGGTTTCCTTTTGGGGATTGTAGAGAGAGATGGATGGATAGTGAGATGGGGTTATAATTCTTACGTACCTATGCGTACGTACGTTACGGACATATGCAGAGACTGTGATTACAAGGAAAGATGGTCTGGTATTATCACTAGCTCACATGAAAATCACAGAAGAGTATCTCTCTATTTTCCACATCCATAAGATTTTTTTTCTCTCTTCAGTTTTGTACATATATATAGCTGGGAAAAACAGATTCCTCTCACTCTTTCATCTTTCATCTTTCATCATCTTCTCCGCTCAAAATAATTTCTCACAGCTCGTACATAACTCGGACCAGTTCGACAACAACCCCCGATTAATCTCGCACCATGTACACTCCATTCCTCAAGTTCAGTCGACAAATTCTTGAGGGCAGCATCGCGCTCTTCTTCTTCTTCTTCTTTTTCCGTATGCACAGCGTGAGTGTGGTGGTGATGAAGAATATCTTCCGCACGAGTGCCATGCCAAGTCTTGCTCACGGCGTCCCAAGTCTCGCCCGAGTTGGGATATGCGATCAAAGGCAGTGTGGTGAGTGGGTGAATTTTGCTGAGAGTCGCAGTGACGGAGACTGCGGGGACGCAGTTGATTCCAAAGGCTAGAATTTGGGTTTCGTGCTCCTGGACAGTTTTGAGAACTTCTTGCCAGGTTGTTCCGTCGGCGAGATGTTCGGTGTCTTGGAGGGTGCAGCTGAGCCATGCAGTGGCTGTGGGGAATTCTGTGGCGAGTAACTTCAGTAGGGCCTGGATCTCGTTCATGTTGGGGATTGTCTCGAGTGCAAGGAGATCGACGCCGGCATCGATGAGTGCTGCGATTCGGGGTCGGTGGAAGTCCATGAATTGCTCCATGGTCAATTGGTATTGTCCCGTATACTCCGATCCGTCCGACAAGTAGGCACCATATGGTCCCACGCTGCCTGCAACGAGCAATGGCCGATTGCGGCCCACAACAGTGCTATAGGCCTTGGTACGAGCTTGCTGTGCGACTTCGACGCTGCGTTGGATGAGCTGTTTCCCATCGGCTTCGCTGATATCGAGATGTTTGGTGAGGCCGGCGGTAGCAGCTTGATAGCTGGCGGTAATGGCAATATATGCTCCCGCCGCGAAGTAGTCGTAGTGGACATTTTCGATGCTTGTGGGATCCTCCTGGAGCAGTTTGGCCGACCATAATGGATGGTTCAAGTCATGGCCACGAGCTTCTAGTTCGGTAGCCAAGGCGCCATCGATGATGAAAGTGTCCACGGCCTCGAGGAGTGAGTCGAAGCTGTCTTTGCTGAGCATGGTATGATGAGAGTGGTGGAGCTGGAGAGGTTGATGCTATGGTATAAGAAAGGATATCAGGTGATCAAGAGAAAGACGATTGAAAGGCGAGGGGTTCGTAGACGGTGGGTGGAATATGGCAATGTTGTAAAAAGTGCGTTATAGTGAGCAAATCAGACATTTTCGGGGCGAAAGGCGGGACCGGGCGAGAGCGGGCTTCTCTTTGGTCTTGGGGAGAACATCTGAACATGGATTATCGAGATTATTGAGCATTATCAGCGATTCTGCAAAGATTATTGAGGATCATCGAAGAAATAATTGAGGGATTATTGAATATTCAGAGGTGACGTCGAAAGAAGCAGTTTGGGTGATAAGGTATGTACACGCAGAAAGAGGAGAAAGAGAGAGAGGAGTGTCTAAAAGAAGGGTAAGAAGCAAGCGGGACTTCACCTCATCCCAAGCTTGGAGCTATTCACATGCGATAAACAACAACAACACCACCACCACCTCCTCCTCCTCTACCTCCTCCTCCTCCTCTACCACCACCACTACCACCACCACCCCCGAACATGTCCATCTTCTCCTTCTCCACTCCGCTCGACATCGACATCGTCCTCGACAGCACCGACGACCGCCCCACCGTCGACGTCAAACTCGACAAGTCCCGCCGCGAGAAATGCCCTCTCTACCTCGACGGCGAGACCGTCAAGGGCGCCGTGACCATCCGACCCAAAGACGGCAAACGTCTCGAACACACAGGCATCAAAGTGCAATTCGTCGGCACCATTGAAATGTTCTTCGACCGCGGCACCCACCACGAATTCCTCTCCCTCCAAACCGAACTCGCCGCGCCCGGCGAACTCCAACACCCCGTCACCCTCCCCTTTTCCTTTAAAAACGTCGAAAAACCATACGAATCCTACCACGGCATCAACGTCAAACTGCGCTATTTCTTGCGCGTCACCGTCAGTCGCCGCATGGCCGATGTCGTACGCGAGAAGGATTTGTGGGTATATTCGTACCGCCAACCACCAGAAACCAACAGCGTGATCAAAATGGATGTTGGGATTGAAGATTGTCTACACATTGAATTCGAATACTCCAAATCGAAATATCATCTCAAAGATGTCATTGTCGGTCGCATCTATTTCTTGCTCGTACGCCTCAAAATTCGCCATATGGAACTCTCCATCATTCGACGCGAAACTACGGGTGTGCCGCCGAATCAGTACAATGAGTCGGAGACGTTGGTGCGCTTTGAAATCATGGATGGGAGTCCCAGTCGCGGGGAGACGATTCCCATTCGATTGTTTTTGGGAGGTTTTGATTTGACGCCGACGTTTCGCGATGTGAATAAGAAATATAGTACGAGGTACTATTTGAGCTTGGTCTTGATTGATGAGGATGCGAGGAGGTATTTCAAGCAGAGTGAAATTGTCCTGTATCGCCAGGCGCCTGAGAATAGTGAGTTGGCGCAGAGACAGGCCAAGGAGATACAGGCGAGTTAGGAGGATGGATGGATGGTAGACGAGTACTCTCGACCTGGTCGTCGTTGTTGTTGTTCTTTCCTTTTCTCCTTTTTGCTTCTCCTTCTCCTCCTCATTCGAATGAAGAAGAGGATTCGCACAACAGCTGCGACCATGAAAAGCATCATGAACCGGTGGTGTATAGAACGAGTGTGTGAACTACTAGGCAGCGAGGCGTCAAGGCGTCATTATTTGGATATATTTCTCATGTATGAAAATCACCAAAGTCTGTCTGTTCTCAGACACATATCAAACACCGCAAAAAATGAGATAGAGATGGATATGGGTAAGGTCAGGTCAGGTCAAGTCAGGTAAGGTAAGGTAAATATGGATATTGGAGAGACCCCAAAGATCCCCATTGAATCCGAAAAATAAAATAAACTAAAATCGCTTGAACGTATTCCAGAGATGAGATAAGAGAGAGAGAGAGAGAGAAGCTTGCAAGACTCTCACAGACAGACAGGCAGCAAGACAGGTGGCCAGGAGACAGATGGACAGACAGACAGATAGAAAAGAGGCAAAAGCGAAAAACTTTCTTCTGGCTCTTCTTTTTCTGCAGTTGCCCAGTCCAGTCCAGTCCAATAAATAGCACACAAAACTTCGACTTCCTTGTTCGAAGCCTTCTCGGCCACAACGATGCTATTGTTGTCGTTGTTGTTGTTGCTGCTGCTGCGCTGCTCCCTCGCCTTCTGTCCCCTGTTGCTGCTGCTGCTGCTTCTGCTCTTCTTCTTCTTGTTGTCGCGCTTCTTCTGCCGCCTGCTGCTCTTTGGCCGCTCTCTCCGCCTTCTCCTGTTCCTTCTTCTCCCGATCCTGTTTCGCTTTTCCCGTCCATGCATCCGAAATGCCGTCTTTGAACTTTTCCCACGGATTCCTGTTCAAATGGTTGCTCAACTGCCGGAAATTGTAAATTTCGCCCCAACAATCGCGGCCCCATTCGCAGCCCGCCATGTTTACGAGAAAGTCCCGTTCTTCCTCTTGGTAATGAATCCCCTGGATCCCGCACTCTTTCATGTCCTCTCCAATCTGGAGCGCCTTGCACCCACCAGAGGGCAGACCACGATCGTCGCCACAGGCTCCGTTGGGGAACGCGTTGATCTTCCGTTGGGGCGCAAACGCGACGTGTGGACGTATCCATGGTTGGTTGGTGTAAATGTACTCCAATGCATCTTGCTCCTTGTGCTCCCACTCCATATGCCTCTGCTCGTAAAAGACTGGATCCCACCAGATGTCAAGCACATAGTCGGTCCACGCACTTCGCCGCACGAAGAATGATCCCAAGTTGAAGCCTCCGCAGTCTTGAGGCACAATGAGGTTGATGCTCTCGGCCTTGCCATCTCCCACTGCCGACAATGATTCGTCGTCCAGATAATTGATGTATTGCGGGGCGTCGGCCTTGTCAGACGTGCCATTGGGCGGATGTTGGATCTTCAACGGGTTGTAGATGTTGATGTCGCGGTACGTCGTCTTGCCCAGTTCGTTGAAAATGTGTCGTTGGAGCGAGTATTCGGGCTCCATGATGAAGGTATTGAGATCGAGCCACCAAAACCTGTCAACAGTCTGTCAGTACTTGATTGTTCGATGGTTCTGCCTTTTTGTTCACCACACTCACCACTCAGCTTGGGGATACTTCTTCATGGTATTGCGGATAATGTCCACCTTTTCCCAGCTCTCTCGCCATTCGTGTGCATAGCGCTTCTTCGTGCTCATGTCCACAATGTGAAGATCGTACCCCCATTTCGCAGCATACTTTTTCTTGTTCTTCACGCTATCCCTCTCAATCGCCCACTCTCTCGCGCCTTTCCACTCCATCACACCTCCGCCTTGATTCGCACCCAATATGATGACGAACTTGGATCCACCTCCCAGCCATGATGTTCTCCTGTACCACGATTTGACAGCTGCCACACGTGTTAGCCTGTCCGCTTCCTTTCTTCACCGGCGGAATCATGTTACTCACGAGACCAGAATAAGAACAGCAACGCTAATACCGTCACCAAGAAGCCAATAAGTTTCCGCCTCCTCGACACCAGCAGCAACAACCTCCGAGGCAGCTCTGCCAGCATCGGCCGAGCTCCCGGTCTCCCTCTTTCACGCCGTCCTTTTTCCGCTATCCGCTCTTCCTGTCCACCATGTGCAAAAGGCAGGCTCATGCTCAATTTGCGCCCAAATCTCCCAAAGAAGCCCTTATTTGTGCTCTGGTAACTGGGATAGCCATTCACCCTCGCCGACCGTTCTTTTGCACTGGCCCAGGAGACATTGCCATTGATGCCAATCGCCGGACTGACTCCTCGTGACCGCCCGTCCGCTTCTAGCGGAGGAGTGCTCAGCCCTGGACTCGCCCAGCCTCCTTCCCGGCGCGGAGATGGACTGCGATCGAGCGACATTGGGAAGCGGGCGACGTCCTCCTCGAGAAAGTACGAGGGCTGCTGCGAGGGTGCAGACCCGCCAGCAGCAGCAGCAGCGGGATCCTGGAAGACCAAGCCTACTCCGGGGGCATGGAGAGCGGTGCGGGAGGTGCGTCGGCGGTGATTCGAGGAGTCGATCTTGGAGGTGGCTTCTGCGCCCGAGGCCGTCTCGGTGTTGTGGTAGGCCACTTTTGCGTTTTCTGCTGGGGAAATTCGCTTAGTAGGTGGAGGGTGGAGGCCGACAGGCAGACAGGCAGGCAGTCAGGCCAGCTAGTCCCTCTCCAGAGCGACGGGAGGGTCCTGTCGTGCGTGCGGCGCCGTGCGGTGGTGCGAACTGCGAAGGAAGGCTGGTGCAGGGCAGGGTGGATGCGTGCAAGATTATGCGAGCAAGGAGCAAGGTAGAAATCTATTGGACTAGATGCGGCTATCGGAGGTGCCTGCTGGGTGGTCACCGTGGTCTGTCTGGCGGCTCTGGCTTAGTCGCGGGCCTAGTTAGTAGAGGCTTGTCGCACTCTTGTCTCTCTGCCTTTGCTTTTTCTTGTTGTGCTATCTTTTCCGCCGCCGTCTTTCTCCACCGACCGACTGCCACTGATCGCCTGTTGCCCAAATTGATCCCGAGTGTGCCAATCGTCCGTGGAGGTGGGACAGTCGTGCGTCGCACAGGAGAGTGCGAGGTGGTGGTGATGGTGATGTGGGTGGTGGTAGAATGGTAGTAGTAGTCGTGGTGATGGTGGTGGTGGTGGCGGTGGTGATGGTCGAGGGTGCGGACGGGACTGCAGAGGACAGCAGCAAATCGCAATTTCTGTTATCTGTGTGCCGATACAGGTATATCGTCCGTCACTACTTGTCCTCTTCCCCTTCGTACCTATCTCCCCACTCCGACCGTACAGTATACCCTATACACTCTCTGCACGCACGGAGCGCCTCTCTGTCACTTGTCAAACAAGCACGTGTCGCCGTCTCCAGGAATAATGCCGGTCGCAGCGTGTGGCACGTCTCACGGCAAAGCCAGGAGCTTTTCCCTTGGTGCTCTCAATGCAATCTAGATGAGATCGGAACGTCTAGCTGTCCTTTGTTTGTGATTGTTTGATTATTATCATTAATCCCGCTGATATACCGGAGTCTAGTCGACCACTACTGTACTGCGGTATCAGGAATAATAAGGTACACCGTAAGAGAAGAAGTGCCGAGTGTGATGATGATACAGATAGAAGGAATCGAATCCTCCCTCCCGCTGTCTCTACCTGGTTTTTCATCCCTCGGCCTCCCACCTTTTTACCTGATGCTCCTCCGTACCATAATTTAGGTACCTCCTACAGTACCTCCTAGCTCTAGAAGCAATTTGTACCCCGAACTAATCAACGCCTTGAAACTCAAAAGCCACACAAACGCGGTCCGCCGCGTGTCCCAATCACCCACGCTCTTCATAGTTCCTGGCGATAGCTGCCCAGTGCTTCACTTGTACGCCTTCATCACCACTGTGTGGAATCAAATCATGATACCTACACAGGTATATACCAGGACCCAAGCGTGTTTGATCTCTATATGCCTGCCCCTGGTGCTAACAGTCAAGATCGCGATTTGATGTGCTCGCCAACCTATTCTTACACTGCTCGCAGTGTTCAAAAAGCGAAAAGCACTTTGTTATCGTTCGGGAGACGCGGTGGTTCTCCTCATGAGCTTCACCAATATCACGAAAATGGCACGCATGTAGTAGTCACCTGGCGGGACTGCTCTCCGACCGCTTCACATTCAACTGGGCCGAAATGAAAACCACGAGAGGACGTGAATGTCCTGATCTAGTACGTGTTCAACATCATTGTCAAGCACGGTCAATGACCTGCAAATGCTGCATTCCCTTTCAAGGCTCAGGCATTTACGCTGTGTCCGTTCCGCTTTCCAAGCTACTGTGGTTGCGAACCCGGTATGAGGCCCTTGACGGCTGTTTTCAACTGTGACCACCTTCCGTCGACATCCCACCCAATCGTGAACTATCCACTAGATCATCAGGCGCTCGACCTTATCCTTCAGCGCACGAATCTGGGCGGTGAGCTCAGAGGCCTCGTTGGTGGTGATGCTGCAGCTGATCACGGCTCTCGAGACACCACAGGCGCGGCCCAATGCCATCTTCGACGGCACGTAGACGTAGGGAGTGTTCTTGTCTTCGCACAGAAGAGCTACACGATGGAGTTAGTCAGTACTCAATCTTGTAACGAAACTCTTGAATGACTTGTCCGCTGTAGGCCGCCTTCTCGCGATCCCAGATCTGTGCTCTGTTCTGCTCTGCGCGCGAAAAAAAAAAGCCTCCAGCACACAACTTAATAGGACCACTTACGCAAATGAAGCAGGATGGCGAGTGGTGTTGTGTCCGCTGCAAGGATGATGATCTCGCTAATGCCTCTGTTCAAAGTTTTGGTTGCCTCGTTCGCGCCTTTCTTGAGCTACAAGCAAGTTAGTGAATGCTCCATCTCAAAAGAGAAGGGCTCCATACCTGGCGGTAGTGGCTTGCCTGCTGGACCAGGTCGAGGATTTCCTGGCTAAGCGCGCTGTCCGCCACCGGCCAAGCAGCTGAGGAGTCGGCCATCTCGTGGATTGAGGATGCTTCGGAGTAGAGGTTGGGGTGGAAGGCGTGATTAACAGGATAACGTAGCTGCTTGCTTGTTAGCCATATATACGATTAAGGGCAGCGCGCCAAATGATCAAGGTAAATACGTACGCTCGCCCGAATAGCTGGGGGTTCACTGCCTCGAGATGTTGCTGTTGTAGAAGTCAGAATTCTAAGCGCACTGCATCACAGCGCAGAAAGATTTCAAACCTGAAAGCTCTTGCCCAGCCCGGAACGTGCCGCAGCGCTTGGACTACTAGAACTAAACCTGGTCATCGCATCAAGAACAGCTTCATTCACCCCCGAGATCACGAAAGCAACACTCCCATCCACGCCACTACTATTCACCTCATCACCTCAAGCGCCATTCGAATTCGCTCTTTGTCTCACTCACACACATAATCAAGATGGCCACCGATCTCTGGTACGTACTGGACGCGCGGCGCTCCGACAATGGGGATGAGGCAAAACGCGCCAGATGAGCTGTCCAAAGCCTCAATCTGCAGTGTCGTAGGCTGCGAGGAGAGTGATGAAGGTCTCAGTACTGACATATGCCTGTTCTAGTCCCGTATATGCTGTAAGTGCTACCTCCTACGCCGAGTTCGCCGTTATGCAGTTGCCTACTCCTAGGCTGGGCCAGTACTCGATACGTCAGCCACAGCCTGCGAACCGTCCCTCTACCGAAGTCATCTGTACCGCGAGCGCCTACAGAGGGAGTGCGAGATTCAAGGAGATGGAACACGCTGCTAACACGATGGATATAGCCCTTCTTCGGCGCGATGGGCTGCACCAGCGCCATCGTGTTCACATGCTTTGGCGCAGCATACGGCACCGCAAAGGCTGGCGTCGGTATCTCATCTATGGGTGTCCTTCGACCTGATCTCATCGTCAAGAGTAAGTTGCAGAAACATTCATTGGAGTTCAGGACAGCATAGGAGCACGACCATCAGGCAGCAGAACCAAGTGGCTAATGACGCCTCCTAGACATCATTCCGGTCATTATGGCTGGTATCATTGCTATCTACGGTCTGGTCGTGTCAGTCCTCATTTCCAACGAGTTGACGCAGAAGACGTCGCTGTTCACAGGATTTATTCAACTGGGTGCCGGTCTATCTGTCGGTCTTGCTGGTCTTGCCGCCGGGTTTGCCATTGGTATTGTTGGAGATGCTGGTGTGCGTGGTACCGCGCAACAGCCAAGGTTGTTTGTTGGCATGATTCTGATTCTCATTTTCGCCGAAGTGTTGGGTAAGTGCTCATCTGACGCTGCAATGCATTCCGGGGCCTCAGTCTAATTTGAATGTCTAGGTCTCTATGGTCTGATCGTGGCTCTGCTCATGAACTCGCGCGCAACTCAAGACGCCGAGTGCTAGAGAGCGAGCGAGCGAGAGAGAAACGGGGGATGATCACACGCGCAGACCAGTACTTACGACATCCGTTGCGCGACCGTGTTATGGCAGGTGGTGGCGTGAAGGAGACGAGCACAGAGTTGGGTTGGTATTGTCTCGAGACGATGCGCAGCTCGCATTGCCCGCAGAAGTCATCTCGAGTGAAGATGCACGATGGGTAAGCACGAGGGGGATGAGGACGAGCATGTAACGTTAGTTGTTTTGTATATTCAGCAGTCGTCCAAGACAAGGGTAGACAGTGTACATGGAGAAGAAATGCATGCGCATAGTTCTCTTGTCTCGGCGCTTGGCCTGTGTCATACCTATACAATGATCCAGCCTTTCATCTCATTTCCCGTCGGGTGTCGTTGGATGCTGAGGAAGCTAGGTGCCGGAATACTACGTAGCTGCACGGGCGGATGCAAACAGGAAGCAGGGAGAGTCCGAGGTTTTGCCCTGGCGAATAATGGGAGCCATGTCCAGCGGTTGGATCGCGGAGTAAGGTGGAAGTTGTCATCCCGGAGATTCACACTGCCCCTCTTCTGACTTCGCATGATGTATGCGCGCGCCCTTTTCGAAAGCCCCACCTCATCGATGCGAACAGAAGAGCGTGGTCGAGTTCTTTGGACTACACTACCTAGGTAGGAAGTAAAATACAATTACCTGCCATTCCGCCCGTCTGACCCTCTACTTTCCTCTCTTCTCTTCTCCTCCCCATCCCATCACCTCCACCACTATACTACACTCCTCCCCTCCAGCTCCGCTCCATTGACATATACCCGCCTACTATCTTCTCCCTCGACTAGCACCATCATGTCTGACACGGCGGGAAAGAGCATCATCTGCAAGGCTGCCGTGGCCTGGGAAGCTGGCAAAGACCTGGTCATTGAGGACGTCGAGGTCCTCCCGCCCCGAGCCCATGAAGTCCGCATCCAGGTGCACTACACTGGCGTGTGCCACACAGATGCCTACATGCTGAGCGGAAAGGACCCCGAAGGAGCCTTCCCCGTCATTGCTGGACACGAGGGTGCTGGCATTGTCGAGAGCGTGGGAGAAGGTGTCACTAACGTGAAGGTCGGCGACACAGTCATTGCGTTGTAGTAAGTACAGTATCTACCCATCTCTCCAGCCATTGACTCTCCCAGGCGAGGAATTGCACCTTTTGCCCCCTCAAAAGCTAACGAGACGCTCCTTCCACAGCACACCAGAATGCGGGGAATGCAAGTTCTGCAAGTCTGGCAAGACCAACCTCTGCGGCAAAATCCGTGCTACTCAAGGAAAAGGTGTCATGCCTGATGGCACTTCGCGCTTCAAGTGCAAGGGCAAGGACCTCCTTCACTTCATGGGCTGCTCCACTTTCTGCCAATACACCGTCCTCGCCGACATCTCCGTCGTAGCCGTCACCCCCGATGCCCCCATGGACCGCACGTGTCTCCTCGGCTGTGGTATCACTACCGGCTACGGTGCAGCAGTCATCACTGCCGGCAAAGGTGGTGTGGAGAAGGGCTCCAACGTTGCCGTCTTCGGTGCTGGTTGTGTTGGTCTCTCTGTCATCCAGGGCGCTGTCAAGCAAGAAGCGGCCAAGATTATTGTGGTGGATGTCAATGACTCTAAGAAGGAATGGGCCAAGAAGTTTGGTGCTACCGATTTCGTCAATCCTGCCAAGGATCTCAAGGAGGGGGAGAACATCCAGACAAGACTGATTGAGATGACGGACGGAGGCTGTGACTACACCTTTGACTGCACAGGCAATGTCCATGTTATGAGATCTGCCCTCGAGGCCTGCCACAAGGGCTGGGGAGAGAGCATCATCATTGGTGTCGCAGCTGCAGGACAGGAAATTGCCACGAGACGTGAGTATACTCCCCTTCCTAACCTTCCTTATGATGGGCCGCCTTGCTGACTTATTTCTTTCTCCTCCAGCATTCCAACTCGTCACCGGTCGTGTATGGAAGGGTTGTGCATTCGGCGGTGTCAAGGGCCGCAGCCAAATGGGTGGTCTCGTCCAGGATTACATGGACAACAAGCTCAAGGTCGACGAGTTCATCACGCATCGACAGCCACTCGGCAAGGTCAACCAGGCCTTCCACGACATGCACGCTGGCGACTGCATTCGCTGTGTCGTTGACATGCGCACGGTCTAAGTGGCGGGACAACAAATGTATCTTCTAATGAGTTTATGAGCAACATGTGAATGAAAATGGTGGTCAATTGACACGTACTTGTGTGATGGCAAAAATGCAGTATTGAACGATTGCTGCGAAATAATGGGAGGGCAAGGACTCGACGAGGAGAGTTGGACAGACTGTACAGATCTATGTAGATGTGCCTGCCGCTCCTCGGAAGTATCATATTACCTACTTGCTATCCTCAGTTACTTAGGAGAGATGCAATTCCAGTTACATGCACGTTACCTATCATTCAATGTAGCCATTATCATTGTCGAGTGTGTCATGTGAAGTAGAATCTTCGATGACGAGCTGTTTCTAGTGCCAGTCGGCCAATTTCTTACTTCGTACAGGAGGCTGTCTCTGAGTGGCGGGGGCGTCTGGTGACTCCGAAGCGCCAAATAGACAGCCATACTATGCTATGCAACATCGTATACTACAAGTTCGTCAGGTAGTCCTCAATCTCCTGAGGACTGAGGGTCCTGAAACGTGGACCAGTCGCCCCTTCTACTCCCTCATAGCCGAGCAGGTGATCTGCGGGATCGCCAATGATGCCAATCTCTACCGTATCTCCGTTCATCTCTCCCTCGATCGTCTCCTTCAGCGTGAGCAGGGCAATGTGTACGGCATCCTCGAGCTCCAATCCTTCCGTGTAGCGCTTCTCGAGGAAGGTCTTTGCACTCGTCGCACTCTTGCCAATCGCAGTCGCTTTCCATGGAAAGTAGCTGCCACTCGGATCGACCTGGTACAAGCTTGGCCCGCCCTTGAGAATACCACCAGTCTTGCCAGACTTCTTCTTCTTGTCATCCACGTCCATCTCTTCCGCAGCCTCGGCCTCTTCCTGCTCGGGTAGAATTCCATCGTCCCAGCCTGCGATGAGCAAGCTCACGCCGTAGGGACGCACACCACCACTCTGCGTCGCTTCCTGCATCACTCGCGCCACGTCTTGCACCAATATCCGCGTAGGAGGGTACTCATTGTATATCCGTTTGTAGCCCGTATGGCTGACCTTGCGCGCCTTGTCGACGAGCACACGGTAATCGGGACCCATGCCAGAGTAGACCATGCCGATGTTGGGTGTGATGAGGGAGACTTTCGACGATGACGAGGCGTCGATCAGTGGTGTGGAGGACTTTTTCTCAGTCGCAAGGACGACGCCATTGGCAGCTTTGATGCCCAGTGAAGTCACACCCTGGTTGACTGCATTGAGAGCATATTCTGGATGCATTGTTAGCGGTGTAGAGAGTGAAGAAGATGCTCTGGGGCGAAGTACCAATTTGGACCAGCTTTCCGCTGTGGAGGCATTAGCGGAGGAATCACCACAGTAAGTGCTCAAGATGAAGCATACCTGGGCGAGAAAGTGGTGAGCGAGAAGGAGTATCGATCAGCCATGGTGGCCGGTGCAAGTCCTGGGTGTGGTTGTGAGGTTCTCGTGCGTGGGCAGACGTTCGATCAGAATTTGTGGTGAGGTGGCGGAGGTGGAGGAGGAGGAGGTGCCGCTGAGAGATGGTGTCGCTGGGACGTTGATGTTTCTAGTGAGAAGTCGAAGCTGTAGAGTGTAGAGGTAGTGTAAGTCAGGTAAGTCGTTAAGCCAGTTCGAGCTGTCGAACAGGCGTCCATGTGAAGCGCGTACCTGCCGGTTCCCGAACAAGTCTAGCGCGAGGCTCAAAGACACCTCCGCTTCCGCTCCACTCTTTGAACACTGACTGACCTCTCGACCTCCAATCCTTTCGTCGTCGACACGTCGTCTGTTGTCTGCTCTACCATGTGCACTACAAACACCACGACGAGCAGGTGGCCTCCCGTCGTCCAGACCACCGCCATCGATTGATCGCTTGACCTCCCTCCTCCTCCTTCTCCCTCGGCGTCGCCGTCGCCATCGCCCTCCCCTCCAATCCCGCTGATCTCCACCACTATGGCTGCTTACACCACCGGCGCCAGCTGGTCTTTTCCGCAGGACTTGCCAGGCGCATTTGATGGACCTACTTGGGACGGATCAGCATCTCACAGCTCGACTCCACCGCACACTGAAGCATACGCAGAATCTGCACCGGAATTCTCAGAAGAGCACCGACCGAAACGCCCGAGAAGACACTACCCGACACGAAAGTGCAGGATATGCCTCGAGGATGTACAGCCAACCTTTCATGCCGACTCAGAATCTACTCTGCCTGCTGCAATGCAGCCCTCGCCGCGCGTGACCTACGAGAGTGAAGATGGTGGTCGTCTACTGTCACCGTGCAAATGCAAAGGCTCGCAAAAATATGTCCATGAAGAGTGCCTCAGCGCGTGGCGACGAGCGGATCCTACGCAGAAACGGAACTACTGGGAGTGCCCTACCTGCCGATACAGATACAAACTGCAGCGTCTCACATGGTCATCTTGGATTTCCAGTACTGCCGCACAACTCGCTCTCACCCTACTCATCATCATATCCTCGGTATTCCTATTGGGTTTTGTCGCTGATCCGATCATTAACATGTATATCGACCCGTATACCACTATTGCTACTGCTGGTGGGCCACGAGATTCGCTCATCTGGGAAGACGAACCCACCACGTGGTTCGAACACATGTTAAAAGGCATTGCTTCTTTGGGACTTGTCGGCTTTGCAAAGTTTTTATTCACCCTATCTCCCTTCCAGTGGTTCAATCTCCGTTCCGTCGGTGGCAGAACCTCCATGGGCGGCAATGGGAGAGACCGGCTACAGCAGATTAGCTGGATCACTGTCATGATTGGCGTAGTCACAGCCTCGTACGCCATATGGAAGCTCGTTCGTGCGTGGTCCAGACGAACGCTCGAATCGGCTGGAGAACGTGTGATGGATGTGCCTGGTAGTACAGATGAGGATGAGGACGAGGACGATGAAGCTGACTGATTAGCAATCGCTCCTACATATGAGATATGCTGATTCAAGTTGCACTTCTCACATCTCTCTCCGCTTCACCCAGATTGATCAGAGTGAGTTTTTCTATCTTTTATTATCAACGAACACATCTTCCCCTTCTGCCCTTCTTTAAGTTGGCTTGTTCCCGGGCTCGTTCCCAACCTTCATGGGCATGACAATTAGTCGATGGGCACAGATCGACTTGCTGGCAGGAACCTGCTTCTTCGGGCGTTATGCTTGAGAGGTGTGAGGAATGCATTGGCTCTTACTCCAGACTGAGACTTTTCTTTTCAATGTAATCGTTGCGCATGCGTGACCTTTACATCCTGTCGCCAACTCCACTCTCGAAAGGGAAATTTTTTCATGGAGTTGAAGGCTGGTGTCTTGTTTGGTACAATCACTTTTTCGACTCTGAGCTCAGCTTGGGAGAGATTATGTAGAAGGAAAAAAAAAGCAAATCGCATTTCATGGGGTATCTCAGTATCAACAAGAAAGTCAAGGAACAAAAAACACCAACATCCCCACCACCGCTCGTCATCTTGCTTTCCCGCTGTCAATCAAGTCTTGCTCGCTGCGGTAACCATCACAGCTGCTCTCGGCAGAGGTGCCCTCTCAGGCACGCGTAACTTCCTTCCAGCACTATCCGTCCTCTTCACGTACCTCGGAGGCGGTTCATCCAATGTCATGATCCTCTTGCCACCAGCAAGACTAATTTGTTCCACAACTACTGCTTCTTCTTCTTCATCTTCGTCTTCGTCTTCGTCTGCTTTTGTGATGGTCGTGTTCCCTCCTCCCTTGACATCAGTACTACTCGTACTCGTACTGACACCACTCATCCGACTACTCAACCTCCTCTCCTTCCTCATTCTCAACTCCTCTTCCCGCGACCGTCTCTGCTCTGCTCTCAGTCTCACATGTCTCTCGCTCTCCAGCATGCTCACCCTCTCATCCGAATCACTATCCTCATCATCTTCTTCCTCATACTTGTACACCGCCCTCGTCGACATCACGCTTCCTCCTCCCCCTCGGGATATTCCACCATCATGGCAATCATCTTCCTCTGCTTCCACGACCAATTGTCCGTCCGCACTATCCACATCCGGCCCTTGCACCCACTCCCTCGGAACCATACACGGCAACGCCAATCCAATCCCAGCCGCACGATTCAACCACGCAGGCGTCGTAGTCTTCTTCCTCTTCTTCTCCTTACCTCCCATCAAAGCCTCCACCAAAGCCTGAGTAAAATGATTACAATTATTCTTCAACAAATGATACTTTTGTCCCTGAAATTCCGCGCTGACTTGCTGCAGAATCGTTTGGATTGCAGCGGGCGAATGGTGGGTATATCCTTGCGAAATGCTGACGCGATGCGTTCCTCCGGGGGGAAGTTGGAGGGGTCGTGTGTAGTAGACGCCTGTCGTGTGGGGTTTGTTGTGTCCTCCAAAGGCATATTCTCGCGAGTGGAGGACTACGCCGGAGTGGAGGAGGGAACTGCCGAGGGTCCAGAGGAGGGTGGAGAGTCTGCCGGGCTGTTTGAGGGGAGGTGGAAGGGGTTAGTTTGGCCTTTTTTCTTTCGTTCATTATGGGTGGTGGGAAGGGGGGAATGGATAGGTGTGTACAGGTAGAAGGTCGTAGACGTTGATAATTACTTCGGTTCTCTCAGTGGTGGTGACGAATGAGGACGAGTCGCGAGAGTGTGGGAGGGAAGAGTCGACTGATGAGCTGGCTTTGCGATTCTGTCGCGAGGAAGATGAGGCCATGGCGGGTCTGTGGGATGTACAGTAAGTGGTGTTGGTAGTGAAGTATAGGGAGAAGAGAGTGAGAGGAGGGGAACAGAGTGAGAGGAGAGAGGGGAAGGAGAGAAAGAAAGAAAAGCCAGTAACAGGCAATGTTCAATGTCGGAATGTTGATGCCTCAATACCAATGATAATAATAACAATAATACATTTACATACACACCAGGTAAGGTAGTATCTGTAGATACCTAATAATACAACGACATCCATGAACGGGAGAGTTGGCATAGCCGCATGCCTACCTGAGGTAAGGTAGGAGGTAAGGTAAGGTATGTACAGTCACGTCATTTCAGTCCCCTATTTGCGCTAAGGTAGGTATTCTTAGCGGTAGATCTCGTTTAAGTCTGGCTCCAATTCACTTTACACTTTGTACTTTACACTTCACTTCACCCGCTAGCCCCCTTTATACGACTTTTCTATACTATATATTTGCTTTAACTATTCCTCGATCTTTGAGTAAAGGACATTATCTTATTTCTTCTCTTTCGATACTAGCTAACTAGAATATAGACTTATTCTAGATACTAGAAGAGGCAGGTATAGCGTTAAAACAAACGCGCTATCTACTGTACCAAAATGGCGTTAGGTTCGCGTTAACGGCCATTTGTAGCAGACGCGAGGAAGTGGGAATTCATCTGTTTGTAGGTACAATCCCTAAACTCGTGCCCGTACCCTTCGTTGGCAGCGACTGCTTACCTAAGGTACCTTTTAGAAAAAAAACCCTAAAAAATCAATTGCTACAAGTCTTCCTAGGATAGGTATATTTCAAGTTTCGATTCATCCAAGTCCTCTCCTAATGCCTTAGTGAATGAAGTGAGGAGGCCGTAACGCCAAGCCCCTGCGTATCGATGGTGCGATTTCGCGATTGTGCGATATCGCGAAATCGCGTATTGCCTATCCAACTCAGATATGTCTGTGGGTTTCTGCGTGCTTCTATTGTTTGCTGACTTCTAGGTTCTACCTACTTCTACCTTACTTCAGCTTTCATTGTCGATTGCACACTAGTGACCTAGCATCAATCAGCATATTGTTGAAGACTTGTGAAGTATCCACTGCATCAGGATTACTTACTGTATCTGCACATTGTCGACAGAAGAAGTATTACTGTATCTGCATACTGCCGATAGCACAAGTACCACACCGCCGACAGCACCAACATCAGCGGATTGACGACAGCACCAACATCAGAACATTGACGACAGCACCAACATCAGCAGACTGCCGACAGCACTAGCATCAGCATCTTGCCAAAGACTGAAGTATCAGACTGCCGACAGCACCAGCATCAGCATATCGTCGACAGCACCAGAGTTAGCGCATTGACGACAGCACAAGCATCAGCCGCCGACAGTACTAGCATCAGCACATTGCAAAAGACAGAAGTATCAGCATATCGCAGACAGCACAGGTACTAGACCGCCGACAACACAAACATCAGATTGCCGACCGTATAAGTATCAGCATATTGCAAAAGACAAAAGTCCAGCATACCGCCGACAGCACGAGTATCAGCATCTTGCCAAAGACAAAAGTCCAGCATATTGCAGACGGCACAGGTATCAGACCGCCGATAACACAAGCATCAGCGTATCGCCGACAGCACAAGTATCAGACCGTCCAAAGTACTAGCACCAGCATATTTTCAAAGACAGAAGTTCAGCATATTGCCAGAGACAGAAGTGACAGCATATTGCAGACAGCACAGGTACCAGACCGCCGACAGTACTAGCGTCAGCATTGCCAAAGACCGAAGTATCAGCATATTGCAAACAGCACAGGTATCAGACCGCCGATAACGCAAGTATCAGACCGCCGACAGTACTAGCATCAGCATATTGCCAAAGACAGAAGTACCGCATATTGCAGACAGCACAGGTATTGAACCGCAGATAACACAAGCCTCAGATCGCCGAGAACAATCTCTTTTTTTTGACAGCGATGAATTCTCAACTGGGTGCTCGGCTGGCGGTTGCCAACGGTGGCCGCGTGCCTCATTCAAACAGGGAGTCCGAAGCCATACACGACAATCGTGAAGCAGGAGAGAAGCGCCGTCCGACAATTGATGACCTCGACCGCCCCGACCCCGAGCACGGCTACCGAGATCCCACCTATCCTCATCACTCTGTGGCCACGCCTCCGGGATGCATGACTCCATGCATTGCCTGTGCAGAACAGTTCCGGTCGGCATCACCATCATCATCGGCATTTACCACTCGCAGATATGACCACATGTATACGGATGAGAAGGCTCGCGATGAAATCCTCCAGTTGAAAACCACCACAGATCAAAACCTCGACCGTGTTCGTACATTACTCGACAAGCATGGCGATGTAATGGCCAAGTTGTGGCTCAAAAAGACAGATGTGCAGCGCAGATCCATTGCCCAAGACGCTATGCCAGACATGTATCCACGCCGAGGCTTCCCGCTCGACGAAGCGAACGCGATTCACAGACCTACTCCTAACGGCACCATCCCGGACTCCATGATGAACATCCGCCTGGCAAATCTCAGAACATCTATGGAAAAGTACCGCAAGAGTCTTCTTGTGCCGTACCTTGATCTCGACAGTCTCAGCCAGAACCCGGGCGAACTTCTCGCAGTTTTGTGTCGCCGTACAGAGTCTCCCCCTTCTTTATGGGCCTTGTTTGACAATTCACAGATCACATTTCATTTCCGAGAAAGATTGATTGGGACATCATACAACCCGCATTGTGTCGTGATGCATGGCCGACGCTACGGACAATTGGTATCATGGGACGAGAAAGCCGCGCACCGTATGGATATCATTGGCTTCCCCAAAGCTCTGTTGGTATTTCAAGCGCAGATGGTGATTTCTAACTTCCTTCTCAAGGTGTCTACTACTCTGGCTCAGCAAACGAATCACCCCGGCTCAAGTGGGCGCGCACAACTGGATATCCTTGCTGCACCCGGTTTTACCACCGATCAGAGTTGGATCGCCCAATACGACCTGCACAGTCTCCATTGCTTCAAGCCATCGACCCTTGATTGGAACGAGGTGATTGAGACTTTGACTTCACGTCTGCATTCTGCCGAAGATCAAAATTGGCTCTTTCAAACGGACCCAGAATTCCTTCGCCAGTCCATTTCTCAATTTGAAGGTGCTGCAGTGCATGGGCATCTAAGCCCAGAGGATATTCGCAAATGTCGGCTCGAGCTGGTTATGCGCCCGAGTAACAGACTACACCGATGGAAGAATATCGTGGGAGAGGTCGAGCGCATGCTCGTCGTATCGAAAGCGGCCGAGGGCACCATCACTCCCGGCAACCCTTTGCCTCGGATGTACGAGACCGCACTCAGCTGTCTCGAGGACTTTCTCACTGTAGAGTACTCTACGCAGTGTAAGCATTTGTATCTCGCGTGCTACATGTCCAAAGCCTTCAAGTGGTATTTTTCAAAAGGCGATTCCCTACGGGCCGAGGAAATTTTCCACCAGGACCGCCTCTTTTTTCACCTTGTGCAGCTGCAACACCACGGCAAGCGGCCCGGGCGGATGCTCTCACTCCATTTGCGCATGCTGGACCATATCATCGCCACGTCGCACGAGCAGGCGGCGCGCATCGACCCGCTCATCGAGAGCATGCTGCACGACGTGTCCGCTGTCGCCGGGATCCTGGTTCGAGTGCACCTCCAGCGTCCACGCAACAGACTCGTGGACGAGATCTGTGTGGAGATGGCTGGCCTGAGCGGCAAGAAGCGCCAGGACGAGAGGGTGATTAAAGCAGAAGCCCACGTCAAGAAATTCGACCTTGACTGGGCGCGGGGGGTGTTGGCCCAAGAGGGGGCCGATGTGGCATTGGTCATGAAGCTGCATGGCCCTCTGGAGACGTTTCTCCAACTCCCCCGGTTGTCGACCAAGACAACCAGAGACGCCCTGAGTTCTTTTGACCAGACGCACGCCAGCCTCCAAGCCTTTTGGCAGGAGGTCTCAAGCGTGCGAGAGGTCTCACTCAGGGGTCTTCGAATCACCACTGTGCTCCCAGCACAGGAGGACGACGAGGCGTTCTTCGCAGCGCGCCTGAAGCTCCTGACCGCCTGGGACGATCCCACCCACCTACACGGTGTGGCAATGGAGCGGGCGGCGTTGCTCGCCAAAATCGAAGCGAGAGAGACGCGCGCGGCGGCCGCCCGCGTCCAGCAAGAAAACCTCCCGCCAGCCCTCGAGGTTGGGCAGACCGTCTGGGGCAAGGCAAGCGAAGACCGCCCGTCGTTCCCCCGCGAAGTGAAGGCGAAGGAGAAGACGCGACCAGAAGTCTCTCCTGCCGAGCCGGCTCCACGCCTCCCCGTCGCCGCCAACCCCCCCGCCCCGCCAATCCGCACAATCGAAGTGCGCCCGAGCACGCGCTCCGTCTTTCGCATCATGTACGACGACGGCGCGGGCGCGGCCGAGGAGCTTCCCGAGCGCGTCGACTGGAGCGACTTCACAGCCGCCATGGTCGACGCCGGCTTCTCGGTCGGCCCGTGTGGAGGCTCGGTCTTCACATTCAAGCAGATGCAGGGCGGGGGCCGCATCAATTTCCATCGTCCGCACCCGCACCCTAGCATGGATCATGTCCTGCTGCGGACGATGGGGAAGCGGTTGCAGAAGTGGTTTGGGTTTGAGAGGGAGACGTTCGTGGTGCGTGGAGAGGAGGAGGAGGGGGTGGAGTAAGTGGTGGTGGTGGTGGTAGTAGTAGTAGAGATGTATACTGATGAATGAGGAGTTTTGGTTTTGGTCTTCTCCTTTCTTGACATGCTAACTATGAGTGTAGAGGTGCTTCGAGGGCAATGTTGTGGAGCGAATGTGCAAACGAGAGGTTGGAGACTCTCAGGTAGGTAGGCGAGAGCGAGAGAAGTATCAGCCGGGCTCTCCTATCTTCGCATACTAACTATAGGCGTAGAGTTGCTTTTAGAATAATGCTGTCAAGCTGATATGCAACAGAGAGGCTGGAGACTCTCAGGTAGGTAGGCGAGAACGATAGAGAAGTATTGGCTGGACTCTCATATCTTCACATGCTAACTATAGGCGTAGCGTTGCTTCTAGGATAATGCTGTCAAGCTGATATGGAACAGAGAGGCAGGAGACTCTTAGGCAGGTAGGCGAGAACGAGAGAGAAGTATTGACTGGACTCCCCTATCTCCACATACTAACCACGATTATAGCCTTACATCTAGGGTAATATTATCAAGCTGATATAGAACAGAGAATCTAGTGCTTCCTTTTGAAAGAATCTCAAGCAGAACAAAAATGTTACCCTACGCAACCCTAGCTTGAGCTACCTACTAGCGAGAGGACACGGCTAGTAGCAAAGTAAAAGTACAAAATGTTGTTCCGAATTTCTAGTGAAAGCGATATGATGAACAACTACACTGTAACCCCGAGATACTTGAAGAGGAAGACGACCTCATGTAGGAAGGGAAACTTTTCAACGGCTATGTCGGACCCTATGGGAATGCCATTGATGTAGCGCGTTGGTCTCCGACTTGATTCCCGGCGTTCGCGGTGTGAAACGTTGCGGCGTCTGTGGTTTCGTGCGAATGGGTGTCTGGGGCTCCGGGCGGGTGGGTGCTGGGTTCGTGTGGCCTCGCGCCACAATCTGTGTCCCCCAGGAACACCATCTGCGTTCTGTCTCCCTTGATCTTGAGGTACGTTTCTGCCATCTTCACAGCCCATTGGGTAGCGAGATCCGGGTTCCGCATGAGCCATTCTGTGCTCGACATCGTCCCGTCTGACAGCACCGTATGGCGGAGTTCCATCTCTTCACGGTACTTATGGGGAATGGAGAGTCTGATGATTACTCTGGAAGAGTTTTAGGTAGGTAGGTGAGAGCGAGAGAGGGATTCGCTGGGGTTTCCTATCTTGATGTGTTGACTGTGAGTGCGTAGGTGCCTCTTGGGCGATGATATGGAGCTGATATAGAACAGAGAGTGTAGTAGGAGGAAGAGAGGTATTTGTCGGGCTCTCTTATCTACGTATACTGACTGTGAATGCGTAGGTGCTTCTAGGGTAGTGTTATGGAGCTGACATAGAACAGAGAGAAGGGAAGAAGGAGAAGATGGACAAATCACAGCTATTACCCAAGACTACCTCATCAAAACACTCAACATTTGATAGAGATACCAGACATCTCAAAGTAGCGGCAGTCTGCGATGGCAATATTCAACTTCCTCGAGCTGAGTAGAGTATCAGAAAGCGATTACAAGTCATGAAATCATTCATTCCCACAGACATCACCTCATCGCCCTCTATCTACCATCCCATTCACCCCATAAGAGAACCTACCTCTATATATATATATACCCATCATCCTTCACAACGCCTCCCTCTCCCGAAACCGCACCCACAAATTCGGCTTCAACAACACCTGATACAAACGAATCGTCTCGGGCGTAGAATCCAAACACCACTTTTCATTATCCCTCCGATACTCCTCCTCCTCTTTCGTCCCCTTCGTCCCCTTCTCACCCTCAACTCCACACAACTCCATCTCAAACGCCCACAACAAATGGCTCAAAATCAACCTCGCCTCCAAAAACGACAAATCCTCTCCAATACACTTCTTCGGCCCATGTCCAAACGGCTTCGAAGCGCTCAACCGATCATTCTCAAACACCTCATTCTCCCCCTTCAACCACCTCTCAGGACAAAACCTATCCGGTGCAAAAAAATTCTTTGAAGATCGACCTGCTACCCAAGGAGATATCGCCACCGTCGTGCCCGCAGGGACATAATGTCCATCAATCACTGCCCCGCCGGCGGGAACGACTCGCTGCATAGCGACTGCGCCGGGAGGGAAGAGTCGGAGAGCTTCGTGGAGAGTTGCGCCGAGGTAGGGGAGAGAGGACATGACGGTGTCGACGGTGATGGATTCGGGGGAGGAGCAGACGGAGCGGATTTCGGCTATGAGACGGCGATAGACGGGGGGGTGGGTGAGGATCAGATAGGTCCAGGCGGAGAGGGTGATGGAGGTTGTTTCGGAGCCGGCGCTTGCGAAGAGGATCATGTTGAGGATGATTTCGGTGGGAGAGAGGGATTTTGCGGAATCTTCGTTGGAGAGGAGGTGGTGGATTACATCTTTGTTGGGGGAGGATTTATTTGCTAGGCCTGTTTTTGGGATCAGTTTAACTCCTGTTTCAAAAGGGAAAGAGGAAAAAAAAAGAGAAAAAAGACATACGTTCCAAAGTCTTTTCCTTTGATTTCACCACATGCAAAGTCCTCCATTTGGCCACTTCAGCAGGCATGAATGCTTTGACCAACAAACTTCTCAACCAGGTATCGACGCCGGCAACTCTTCGAATGGCTTGATCATATGTGGCAAACACCGTCACATGAATGATAGATTTGGCCCATTCCGTCGCCGAGCCTTGAGCGAGACAACCAAATGGCTCGCCATAGGACAATTCTCCAATGACATCGAATGTGATGAATGAATCTGTAACAATAACAATTAACAATCATACCATGTCAGTACCGTATCTTTTTTGACTCCATGGACAAGTCCACGCAAAAAGAAAAAACAACATACAATAATCCGACATATTAGCAACCTCCCCCCCCTCAATTTTCCTCCTCAGCGCCGCCAACAACGCAGAAATATGTCTTTGAATAATCTCTTCTTGACCATAAAGAGCATTTTTCGAAAGTGCCGGCGCCAGAGCTTTTCGTTGTCGAGTATGTTCTTTGCCTCGCGCAAGTCCCACTCCGACGTAGCCATTCATGGGAGAAGCGACACCGATGAAAATGGGACTTTTTTCCATGACTTTGCCTTTCTGGATTTTTCGTTGGATGTCAGTATCCCGGCTGGTGGTGGTGATGATGATGATGATGATGATGATTGGGATACAAACATACACGATACCCATAAATATCCTCCCATGCATCTGGTCCTGTGAAGAGGAGTTCATTGGGAGCGACTCGGACGACAGAACCGTATTTTTGGGCCAGGCGGTGGTAATGAGAATGTTGTTCTCCGTTGGATAATTTCCATGCACTGGGAAGGTCGGTTACTTTGTGAGTCCATGGGCCTGGGAAGGACTTGAGGGGATGAAAAAGTAATCTGTAGAGGATGCGTAGCAGGAGAGAGGTGGCTAGGAGTGTGAGGACTGCTGTGGGCCATGTGGTGGGAATGGAAGAGAATATCATGGTGTTGTTGTTGTTGTTGTTGTTGTTCGTACTGTTCACTGCAAGTGTTGATGATTATAGAGTACTACTCTGATCACAGCGGCCTTGAACAACGAAACAAGAACAACGACAAAGACAACGACGACGACAACGACAACGAAAATGCCGACAATGACAACGACAATAACGAACAGCGGTGCCGTAGGTAGCTACGAGGAGGAGGGGGGGGCCAACGATCGACTGCTAGTTTCTCCCAACTATACTCTGAATGCTAGTGCATTCCGCCCACCTTCTCGAAGACATAATAAAAAAACATCTAGGTCCCCTCTTGTTCACAAGCGAATAAAATAATCGTTCCGTATCGGGAGAACAAACCTCAAATACAGGCTACAGCTATGGTAGTATGTTAAACACCCTACCTAGTAACCTGGAGGAAGCCCGGCTGCGTGGGACATGTACATATGTACAGGCATACTGGCAAATAGGTTAATATAGCGTGGGTGACCCTAGTTCACATTGTTAGCGTAAGTTGCATGGTGAGTGCGGTGAGCGAAAAAAAAAAGTCTACCAGGGGCCATGGTTGACGCTAAAACAAAGCTAAAAAAGAATCCAAGTGCTAGATACCTTACTCAGAAATTCCTGGTCGGACCGGGCCCTTGTACATACATCACGACAACAACAAAGTACGTACAGACTCGCGCGTCATGGGGGGAAGGGGAGTCCCAAAGATTCGCAGGGCGATGGCTCAAATATGGTCCGACTGACTTTTTTTTTTTTTTTCTTTTTTGGAATAAAAAGTGTCTAGCCTGTTGCAGCTTTCATTGCGATTAGTCTTCCGAGACTTTGAGTCGGAACACGAACATCGTTGTAGGGACAATGCCGACACAAATTCCTTATGCAAATCACAAAAATGCCAGATGTCCGGGGGGGAATAAACGAAAATAAAAAAAATAAAAATGCGTCACCGGTCCGGGCGAGATGTGATCACAATCGTCTTTAGAAATTTCCAACTCACATGTCGTCGTCGTCGTCATCGTTGTCATTGTTGCCTAAGAAGATGGCCGGAAAAGTGTTTGCCATTACGGGGGGAGCGAGTGGTATTGGACTGGCTGCAGCAAAGCTCCTGGTGGAACGAGGAGCCAAGGTCAGTATAGCAGATGTCTCATCGAAACTGAACGAGGCCGCAGTCGAAATTGCCCAGCATGCGGGACTCCCACAAGACGAATGCGTACTCGCTCGGAGCGTGGATGTGCGTGAGCTGTCCCAGATTCAGGCGTGGTTGAAGGCTACAGTGGAGACATTTGGACGACTCGATGGAGCAGTCAACAGCGCCGGAGTCTTTGATTATCCCAAGGCCGCAACAGGACAAACAGCTGCACTGTGGCATCAGGAGAGAGGCATCGATCAGTGGAATCATGTTATTGGAGTGAATTTGACGGGCACTGCCAATTGCTGTCACGTCGAATTGGAATACATGACTTCCGAGGCGGCCAAAGCAGAGAATTGGGGCAGATCAATTGTCAATATGACTTCCGTTGCGGGCTTTCGAGCTCGAGGAGGCAGTCCTGCGTGCGTTTTTTCGAGGACCTTGTCGTCGTCGTCTCTCTGAGAGAGGCAGAGAGAGAGAATGGAGAGCATATAAACTGATGGTGTGAATAGATATATCGCCGGCAAACACGGCATCATCGGACTGACGAAAGCGCTGGCCAAACAATATGGACCTGTCGGGGTCAATATCAACGCCGTCGCTCCCGGCGCCATCGATACTCCGATGAACCAGAATGTGGGCAAAGAATTCGTCGATGCAATGGTCGCTGGACTGCCTATACCACGCAGAGGAACGGCGGAAGAGACTGCCAAGATGATTGTATATCTGTTGTCTGATGACGCGAGCTATGTGACGGGAGCGACATTTACCATTGATGGCGGTATGACGGTGTAGATGGTGACATTGATGATATTGAGGATGGTATTGATGGAGATGTTGTTGTTCTTGTTGTTGTTGTTGATGATGATATTGATGAGAATGACATTGAGGAGAAAGGGAGGGCGGAAGGGAGCGGGTGAGATTTTGATCACGTAATCACATATACAACAGTTTCTTCACTTTCCCTTTGACTCCTTTTTCTTCTTCTATCAAAACATCAATTGCCCCTTGCCCCTTTCAACAATATCATACCCCGAAACGATACATCAAAAAGACACTCTTCTGGCCACAACGCTTTTGTCGGACTCGCTCGCTCAACACCTGGTATTTCATACTGTATGACATGTACTGGCGTTGATATTGAACGAGGAGGACAATAGCCGCAACCCGAGGATAGCCCCTTAACACCGACATAACGGCTATGTATCGTTTCAAAATCTCACTCTTCACGCCTAATATTTTCCAGCTCTCCTCATCCTCCTGTTAACAGTCCCCTCAATTTCTGGGGTCGCTCGGACACTCTTCGTTTGCACGCATAATCGCTAAACTAGCCTCGATGTGGCTTGCAACGCGAAACACCAACATGGACTTCTATCACACGACGCTCTCCCGCTTGTCATCACACAAACACACACACTGGACCACCCCCCAGAGCGCACTACATACTACAACTGGGTTGGTAGATTATTACCTCTACGCACTGCATACCATTACTGGCTTGTACACCGAGCCACGCTGCAGCCAAAAATCCGTCAGACTCAACGGATGCAGGGGAGGGGGAAGGGGGGCAAAAAAAGGCGGCCACAAATGCCCTGTTGGAGATGGACTCTCGCCGTCAGCAGTATACTAGCAACATGCTATACGTACGAGAAAATACAGTAATCAACTACTATAGTATATTGATCATCGTCGTCGGTCGAAAGCTTCATAATCAACAACGACAAAAACGACGCTATCATAGAACTAGTCTCTACTCTAGCAATTACAAGTCTGACACTAACAGTCCTACCTACACCACAATCACACACAACCTATACACGCATACACACACACACTTTTACTACTACTCGGATCCTCGACCAACAAAAATGGCGGGTAACGCTCGTACGATCGACGCAGACGACGCGGCATATTGTCTAGCAGCCTATCGATCCTGGTTATTCGCTACGACCCAAGAACAGATGAGACATCTGGACCAGTCTGTAACAACCAAGACGACGACGACGACAACAAAGACTTCGGATCAGCAAGTTTCCTCTGCTCCGGGCGGTGTGGTTGTGGTAATGGTACAATCCTCGCCGTCGCCGTCGTCGTCGTCGTTGTCGTTGTCGTCGTCGTCGACCAGGTCTCTTGCATACAACAGCAGTAGCAGTAGTAGCAGCAGCAGCAGCAGTGAGATATTGCCCGTCTCGGCGGCAGTTCTCGAACAAGATACTACTGCTCCTACTATTACTATTACAACTACTGCAGGGCAAAACCCTCTCTCCCCTGCGAGATAGTAACCGATGTTTGTTTTATTTTTCGCAGGCACAAAATCGTGCTAGACAGCACGGGTCTAGACCCGGCCTGGGGGGGGGATGTTCGAGACTTTTTCTGCAATTCTCTTTCTTGTTATTCCTTGTTGATATCAAGGTTTATATGTTTGGTTTCTTGCAGAGGAAAGGAGGCAGGGATTGTGAGGGCCCTGTCTGGGGGGGAAAGGGTGTGAGGGAGAGAGAGGGAGGGAGGGAGGGAGTGGGAATGTTTTTGCAAAGAAATGGTTGATGACAAAGAGAACTTGGTGTAATTTTCTGTGCTGGCTTGGGAGGGAGGGGGAGAACGTTGTGATTTCTGTGGAAAAAAAGGATTTTGTATGATATGTACGGATATGAGCGAGTTTTTTTAATATGCTGGAAGAAGAAAGGAAAAGGAAAACCAAAATGAAGAAAAAGAAATCGACCAACACATGAGACAGGAACGAAGTCATCCATAATAACGAAAAACCATCATTCTTCTATCTCTCTCTCGCTACAAAACAAAAATCTCAATCATCATCATCATCAATTCCACATTCTCGCCACTTTCCAACAACAACAATCACTCTACCATCTAAATCCATCCAACCCCCTAAAAATCCCCCCTCTTCCTAACATCCACCCACAGCGCCGGCTTCTCCCAAACCAAAAAAACCTTCTGATCCAACCACCCCTCTGACTCCCTCCTCAACTCCAAATCAAAATTCAACAAAGTCGTCGCCAAAATCAACCGCATTTCATTCCAAGCAAAATTCTTCCCCGAGCAACCCCTCGGACCCGTACTAAAAGGCTCAAAAGCCTCCAAATGATCATTTTGAAATTTGGAATCGCCGAGCCAACGTTCCGGGTGGAAACCTGTTGGGTCCGTCCACAGGGTGCTGTCGCGGTAGGTTGCCAAGTGGTAGATGACTACGCGGTTGCCGCCGGGGATGTCGTAGCCGTTGAGGGTGGTGCCGCTGGGTGGGACGAAGCGGGCGAAACCGATGGGGACGGGGGGGTAGAGTCTGTTGTTGTGAAGGAAGGGTTAGTTTATTAATCGAAGAAAGAAAGAGAAAAGAAAGGAAAGAAAAAAATACCTCATAGCCTCTTTAATCACCGCATCAAGAAGTTTATTCGCCTGCAAACCCGCCATAGTAATTCGATCCGGTCCCCCAGGAGTCTCGGGACTATACTTGTCACGAATATCCCGTGTCAACGTAGCCATCCATGCAGGATTTTTGAGCAAATGATATAAACATCCACTGAGCACCGTCGCGCTAGTTTCGGTCCCGGCAATCATCAATTCATTCGCAATCGAATACCGTTCTTCTTCCGAAATCAGCGCTGCAGTGGAAGTTTCCGCCGTGACAAGACTCCAAATGTCGGGTTGTTCGGGAGATTTGGTGAGGCGTTCGTGGACACGGTCGGTGATGAAGCGGTGGTGTTTTTCTGCGAATTGGCGAATGCTGGGGATGCTCATTAGGAGGAGATGGAGGCGTCTTGCAATGGGGCGGCTGTAGAGACGGATCGTCTTGAGACGGGTGACGTGGCGGAGGATGGTGAAGATGAGGCGGACAAAGGGGACGTAGTCGCCCTTTTCGAGGAGATGCAAGGGCTCGGAGAGGAGCATGTCACTCATGACATCGAATGTGGTGCCTGTGAAGAATTAAAAAAGATATATTGTCAGTAACACCATAACGACGTAAAAAAAGGCCAAAAAGGTTCTTGTCACTCACAGTTGAACAGCTTGACCATATCCGAGGGAACATTGTCAGTAGCATGCTGATCCAGCCTCGCAGCGAGAGCATTACACCAAGTCTTGAATCTCGTCTCATAGCGCTTCAAACCCGAATCACTAAAAGCCGGAGCCATAGCTTTTCTCATTCGCAGACTATTAGGATCATCATTCCCAAACGGACCATGAACCTCATTCAGCGGCGCATCGTAAAAGATCAAATCTTTCGCAAATGCAGAAACGCCATTGGCTTTGCTTTCATAAATCGTCTTCCACGTCTGCGCGTTTCCCGTGACAGCGACCAGATCCGGTGCGAGGCGTACCACCGAGCCATATTTCTCGTGGAGTTCGACGACGGCTACGGCTTCGTTGCCGGTCCACATGGCTTTCAAGTGTGGTAGAATGGTGAATGCTCGCAGTCGTGGTCCGGGGATTTTGGAGAGAGGGCCATATAATGCATTGTAGAGGTGTTGGAGAAAGGCAAAGATGGCCCATCCAGAGAGGATCAAAGGGAATAGGAGAATCAGCTTGCTGGAGGAGATGGAGGAGATGACTGTCGACAACGCCATTGCAAAAATCGTTCTAACAAAAGAACAATAAAAAGCAAAAATAAGACCTTCGACCTGTCTTGTTGTCAAAGCAGGTAGGTAGGTAAGGTAGGTGAGCTTAGCAATTCGAAGAAGGGGGGGAAGGGGGAGGCAGAGAGAAGAGGTATCGACTAAGTGTGTCTTTTTTTTCTCCCAAGCTAACAACAACAAATGTCTCTCAGACTCTCAAGTGCTGTCCCTTCGAAAGTGCCGGCCGACAATGAATAATAAAAAAATCAACCCATACGCGCTTGATTTCACATTTAAAAACAAGCCAATGTCAGTTTACACCTAGTCAGTCAGCAGAACGACAGTTTTTCTGGTCTTCGTCTGGGCTCCCCCCCCTCCCTCTTCCCAAGCGGATCTACCTTTCTGTTGGGTGACCGGCGGCGCCCCAAGGCCCTTGTCGATTGCATTTCAAAAAAAAACATTAAAACACTATCGATCGATTAGCCTATAATGGAATTTAAGTGACCTAGGATGAGGATGCACGGTAGGTATGTGTGTGTGTAAGTGTGGTGTAAGAGAGCAGAGGGAGGGAAGCAGACAGACAGGCAAGGCTAACTAACTACGTACGTACACGACGTCTTTTTTTTTGCCCGCGCGGTGCAGGAAAACCGGGCTTGTCTTTCCTGCCTGGTAAACTTTGATATTCAACAGGGTCAGGGGCCCCGGGAAGGGGAAGGGGTGGTCCAGAGAGAAGCGCAACGGGGCGCGTTGGTCCTAGTAGGTAGTAGAGTAGAGAGTCCCCTGGACCCAGTTTCAACACAGATATCAATCGGGACTTTTTTGATCCATGTTCATCCCCCCCCCCTTATCCCTCCCCTCCCCTTTCCCCTCCC